TTTTAAACCGTGTTCATACTACGAGCAGAGCGAAACCGCCATACGAGTTCTGTACATCGATTGTCAGTTGTTTTTGACCCTCAGGATGAAAAACTGTTTTCCATTTAGCAAATAACAATTACTAACAGTATTTTAGCTTATTTGAAAGATCCCTCACTATTGATAGTTGATTCTGGTGTCAATGGACGATTAGCGAGTTGTATACTCTTCTCAAATGTAACCGCTAGAGGTCATACAGAATCACACATCGCCGCTTATCATTAGTCTCTCTGTTAACTGCAATAAACTAAAGCTTCTGACGTTTAAGCATTGTACTAGAGGGGCACCTGCAACGCATTCAGACAAGTAGGATCAGAAGTCTTCTCCCTAAAATGTACTCATGAAAAAAAACAGTAGAGAATCCGTCCACAGTAGACCATAACCTATTAGGTAACTGTTAGGTTGCTAAAGGTGTATTGTATTTGTCCAGTTCTTAAAACATTCAGCGACGGAACAAAATACCCTAACTAATGACTTGGCAAATAATAAGGGTGGTAATATTTGAACTCTTGAAGATATTGTTGCGATTACGTTTTCAACATTGCCCTACTAGCTCAACAGGTTACCTGGTCCTGCACATTTTGCTGTTGATGTTTACTCCTCCATTTCTTACGTAGTCCATACCTCGCCTATCTGTGAGCTCCCACGGCGATTATCGCCAAAAATCCGCAACTATCGGAAATTGTTGATCCCACCGCATTTAACTCGATCGTCGTTATTTGGAAAAAATTAATGGCTTAACTAGTGATAGTGTGCATAATGGGTAAAGTTAATCTTTCGAAAAACAGCTTGTACATGAACCACAGTTTTTAGTAATGCTTGTAACAGATTAAAATAATAAAAAGTTAATTGCAAAACAAGGTGGTGTTTACACACGACGGAATTAAAAATAACCAATGTGCGATCATAACTTATGTAGAACGTGGGTGTAACACCACAGTTTTTTTTAACTGTGTTATGTTTTGACGTTCGTTTTAATCGTCTATCTCAATGTGACCTGATATCTATTGTGCATTGGATATATGTTGAAAAGTGCTGCCTTTATATACTACGAAAGGTGTCAGTACGAACAAGAGAAAACATCTGTGCCGAGCTACGGTAGTGCCACGAGATATAAATATATGAAGTTTTCTTAATGTGAATTAATTTAATGACATCCTTCTGGGTAGAAGGTTCCACCATATGACAAACGCCATACTATACAGATAGACGCTAGTTACTGCGGCTGTAGAACGGTGGGACTGTTTGGCAAGCTAGATTTTTGAAAAACAGTAAAATGCGATACGGAAAGGGTTACAAGTCATGCCTAACTTCGTCGGAATCAATTCTCGCTTGTAATTCCCTTCTCATTATCTCTTTGACAAACAGCTGTCTGAATTTGTGGTGAGATAAGAGTAAAAAAACAAGCGCAGTATCGTTTTAACAACTGGCTTCTACGAAATCGCAACGAATGGGCCGAACGAAAGGAAGAAGAAAATACTATATATAAATGTATCTATGGCTACACAGGGTCGTTTCTCATCATCACCGTTGCTAAGCCAAAGCGACTGACGCTTCCTCCGTTCAGTCTTCTATTCCGACTCATCCTATCCTGCTTCAGTCACTGTTCATGCGCATGACGCTCCTGTTTCTAGAGCAGATAAAAACCGCTTGCAAAATGACATCACGAAGCCAACTAAATGGGGTTACAAGAATCGTAAAGAGAAGAAGCTGAGGAGACCCAAAACTTACCACTGACGAACAACGATGTAAAACGAAAAATCTATCGCTAAGACACAAAAGCATTAATTGTGATAGTTATTCTAACATTTTATTTCTGTAAAATCTGTTAAATTATTTTGTTATGGCCAACTATTTTAGTCCACTATGATTATTGTGGAAAAACGATGACTAGCTGCTGTAGTAATATTAACAGCCCTTTGTGTATTGTGTGTCTATCCAACTTTTCGACAGTCCACACCATTATTAAAATCAGTCATGATTATCTAACCAGCACCGTAAGTTACACAACGATTCCAATATCCATACATAATAATTTCCACCGGCCCAATTCACGAGTAACTTTAAGCGTTATATATATATATATATATATATATTATGATATGTAATATACCATACCTTGGGTATTGATAAGTTTCGATTTAAATGTTTAAAAAAAATCCAGCCTCGACGGACGTATATGATGACCCTGTACCATATCAGTAACTTCATGACACTAATAAAAATAATTTAGTGGGACTAATTCGTCACATGGATCTGTATACATATTAGCACAAAGATATAGCACGCCAATTTTTCGTTTCGCCCTCATATTGAACCATCATCCATTATTGTGACGTCATCAACCCATTTTTTAGTAAAGCACAATACTAGCTATTATAACGAAAAACTTGAGCTTTGTTCTTGGAACTTACATGGCAATACTTATTCGTTTTTATAGTGTAGTACTACTCCGCTAGTAGATATGATGCTGATACGAGAATATCATCATCACATTTTCCAGTGAAACAAGATCATAGCATAAATTGAGAGAATATAATGCTGATGACGTTTTGTGTTGAACGTGAAAGCGGTCGATCAATAATAATCCGCTATTGCGGAAAGACTTTTTTCACTGTTTTCCCGAACAGATCGACAATAAACAACGAAGATCAGTTATCATCTATCCATTCAAACATCCCGGCCAGAAAACGAATGAAAAAAATATTTTTTTCTGTTTCGTAGCAACCCAGTGAGCCAATCACCCAAACGCGCGGCCGACGAATGAGCTAGTCAGCTGGCTTGCTATTCAGTGAAAATACAAAAAACCTTTCCTGATTATATTATAGGATACAAGTTCGTTGGCTGCACAGGCGTCACTTTCTGTCTGTGCTGTCCGCTTTCGTGACAGCAGACGACAATTTTTTTCGTAGCGCTGAATATCCAAGTCAGACACACGAGACTCGATATATTCCTCAATAGAAAAACATGCACATCTTATTCGCACCAGTTAAGATGTACAGAACTTTCCTAAACAAATGCATAATTACAATGTTAATTACAGCCACAAACAGATGCGATAATTGGCATTTTGTAAAATGACACTAATAATAGCTTTTTTTTTCGAAAAATTCACAAATTAGTTTTGCCATCAAACGTACTAATAATTGCGCCAAGTACGATTCTATTTCTATGAAGATTGATCGAACTGTGTCAAATCAAGGTGTCAAGCGCTAACTTGCTTTTTATGCAATTTAAAGCTTGTTTCATGTGTTTTAAAAAAACACACTCACACTGCCGACAATTGCAGCCTGAGTAATGCTAGGCTTCTCGCCTTTTTTTGCTAATATGGCCATACTAGGTCTTATCTAGTATTTAGATATATTCATGCGATGTCTTTTGCCAAGAGGATTGTACCTGACTGGCGTTTAGGGCCGGCTTGGCCACTTAGCTTTCGAAAGGTAACGGTGACTATGATTTGATGCTTTTTGCCGTCGTCTGACAAAACGACACCGCAATACTTTAACTTTCTTAGCTTTGGCAGCTTTATTATTCCTTGGTCGCTGTGTTCTATTGTCTATTGTTGGTCGATGGAATTGCGTAATGACTCGTAACAGCGGGGCTCGGTGTTCGGTCAGCTCGCATTGGCCACAGTAGCTGCCGCCGCTGCTACTGCTGGTACCGCGTAGACTAACTGACGGCGGACTCAATCACTGAACTACTAACGATTAACCGACTATCTACCTGACGCTCACAACGACAAATGCGTCTAGTAGCACTAGCCGCAGTAATGAGCTAGCATTGCGAATCGAAAAAGAGAACAAAGCACATTGCAAGTATCACATCGTAACTGCTTTTGCAGTACGACACCGAGCGCGATTAACAACAGTCACAAACAGGCACACAAACTCACCGTGACACCTCCAGTCGTTTAAAACCGTTTCACAAATTCAATTCATATCAATGTTAATAGCAGTATCACTAATTTACTTCAAAATGAGCCGCACTGTCAGCCAGTAAAGAAAGTGCCAGACCGCAACGTTAGTCAAATCAGTCAATTTCCAGTAGACAGTAGGAATGCTGACGATAGGTCAATGTGTTCGGCAACCCCTGGCCTAAGTGGGTTGCAACGTAGGCCTGAAAAGTTTGAAGGATCGCACTAAATCAAATTGCATTACTGACTCGTTAAAGAATCGAGCAAACCAATTAGATACATGCCGAAATGAAAGGACCCTAACATAGTGCGTAACAGACTGTGTGCGGCAACAATGAAAATAACACTTTGTTCATGGCCACATCAGCAATAATAGCACCCGTACAACCCTCAGAAGAGCAGTAACGATCTTAATAACAATAGCAGCAGTCAGGATCGAATGAAGCCATCAACGATAGTGTAATTAAGATCCGTGTGTGTTTTATTATCATTGTCTAGCTGGCTGGCTGGGATTCAGTAGATGAGCAAACCCATCAGCGTCGAATTTCCCATTCATTGGCAAATTTTTCCATTTATTCCGTCTGCCAGTCAACAGACACTAGTTTCGCAATGAAGTGACTAGCCCTCAGCACTTCTTTCACACTCAAAACTAAGACCCTTTTTTATAATAGTTCTTTAGCAAAAACAATAAAGCAAATACCCTAATCGCTATCTGTGATAATGCACACAGCTCTTGGCTAACATTATTCATATGGACATGACTAAAATTAACTCTATTTTACATGATATAGAATGTTTGATTAGTGGAACATTCGACGTCACGTGAGGCTAATGCCTGTCGGGTCAGCTAGTGTACGGTATAAGGCTATAAGACATACGTGTACTTTCTTTGTTCGCAACCAATGAAGCAAAACTTTCGTTCCAGCACACGATCATGCATACTTGTAGGTAAAATAACTCAATACATATTGAGGATTCTAGGTGCCTTCTAGTGCAAGACCTAGTACATTGAAATGAACATCAATACAAAATAGTAAGTCCCACTTACGGTGCGGTGGTGCTCTTCTGTTTCTCGCTGGCCCCTTTTCTTGTCACTCTTGGCGAATTTGTCAATTGAAATAACTGGTGATGAACTTATTGTCCTGCGTTGTTTTTAATATGCTTGCAACGGTTGTTGCTGCAATCGTCGTCCTCGCTTTCTATTTCCTTGAATAGCAGCGTCCGGTCCTTAATACCCCGCATGTGGCAGTTGTGCTATTGGCCACCGCATCAGCCCCTCAGTAGCAGAGTTGGGCACAAACGTACACAGGTTACACGGTCAACAACAACAGATGACATCAGCCACCACCGTCATTAGATTCTCGCGCCGCGCACTCGGTGGTACTCTTCTGTATGTCCTTATCGAATCACTTGTTTTTTGCTTTCCCTTTTTCTGTGTTTCTTTTCAAATGCAACAAGTCGGAAGGTTACAAACGACAAGCACGTTAGGCTCTCTCTCGTACAGCTAACTAAACACGGCACACCTCGATCTCGTAAGGATGCGAATTTAATACGCGCGCATGCAAACGAACGCAGACATTGCCATTGCCTTCATTACCACCATCCATTCACCGTTATCCAACGAGCTCGATCGCAGCGGTCTGGCACTGCGAGACGACCACTACTTCAACTACAGCTTCTATATCAGCTGTTGATAGTACACCTATTGGCAAGCGATGTTAATTTTGTTTGGGTTCGTTTTCTGTTTCTCTCGTATTGGACCGCTGGCGTCGCAGTTGCGGCCTGCGGCGTCGCTGAGCCGTCACCCGAATCCCGCACTTCTATATACGTGATCTATATCTACTGCTCTCGCCCTTTCCGTGTCTTACTCTCGTGTCACCCTTCCCTCTAGCCGCGGCACGACCACGGCCTGTTTGTTTTTTCAGATGTGCTGTTAGAAGTAGTGGCAGTGGCCGCAAGCAACAGCAGCTGAGCAAGTGGCCGATCTACTAAATGCTTTGCCTGCGAGGCCCAGGCCTCGACACCAGCCGCCAGCAGCGACACAACACCACCTCGGGATGACCGGTTGCGATGACGGTGACCGCAGCAACCAAGCCCCGTTAGTCACTACTTATTGACTACTAGCACTGCTTGTCTTTTCTGTTGTTTAGATGGCCGCTTGCTGCTGTAGGTGTAACTGAGGCAGATTTGCGGCTTCTGTCTGTGCTAACTGTGTGAAAGGGGGCTAACCAACGATAGCGAGGAGGCAGCGGCACCCCAACCACGACAACAAAAACAGCGACCACTCCGCTCGCTCGCTTCCTAACCGCTGCTACTGTGGCCGCAGCTACTGCAATAGCTGCCTGGAGTTAGCAGTAATAGCGCCAGCAGCAACAGCAACGGTAGCAGCCGAAGGAAATAGACCAGCAGCCGCATAAACAAACAAACAGACAGACAGATAGGTCCACGTACAGGTCAACGCAACATGCTGCGCGTTGACAATTACCCAATCACCCAATCAGATACCCAATACCCAATCAGATAAAAATATCTAACTACGTGAACGAACAGACGCATAGAGTCAGAACGGCGGTCACAAAGTGCCGCGCGCTAACAGTCGCAATGGTAACAGAACACAATCGCAGCCATGGACAAAGACACGATGGAAACATGGGAATAAATGTAAAACGTTCCTCTTCTTCTTTCCCCATTTTTATAGACAGACAACGACATGGTGTTTTGCAATAACTCAGCTTGGTGACGAACGGCACAGCAGAACGATGACGTTCAACGTCATCGACTGCTGCCTTTTTGTTATATAGAGAAACCGCTGATCTGGCGGGCTGGAAACACCTGCGAAGCAATAATCATCGCCTTCTCTAACTTACGTAATCTAAACCGTCTTTAAATTACAATCGCATCCTTTTAAGTGTAGAAATGCACTCAGGACATAGACGTTTGAACGTCACATTACCTGGCTATAATACGTCAAGTGTACGCAAAGCATTTCCGCCGCAAGTCACTTCCAGAAAGAAAAGATTGCGTCTTTAGAGGAAAATGATATTAAGGGGGAAATACGCAACAGTATCGTAGCTTAAGTAAAGTTGCAAGCTGTGTAGTGGCGGAAGGAAATCGAATAGCCAACTAGCGGAAATATGCAAATTTATAGGAAACACAGGTAACCCAAATTTAAAACTAAGTTTAAGTTTGCAATTGCAAATCAAAAGTGTACAAGAGACGAGGCTCAAAGTCAAATTGTTTATTGTATTAAAAAGAATTTTCTTGCTACCAGCCATTGTACAATCTGAAACATGTTATCGCGAAATATAACAAGTATTCTCCATAGCACACAATTTACGTTAATGCAGCAAGCAATTGTTATACGAACGTCTAATTAGATTGCATTGCACACTAGAATGATTTTGCATAGGAAAACGATAATTTAGGAAGAACAAGCTGACATAAAGAAGATGGCTTTAACGGCAATCCGCTAATGGTTTGGCATTGTGATGTCATCTCCCTTTCTTTCTCTCTCTATCTCTTTCTCTTTTTGTGCACAATCGGACAGATCAGTACAAGGCACCACAATAATCACCGCATGTTTTGCAACAGATGAATGGCCCACGAATTGTGGTGCCGGTTATTAAAAAAAATGGCTTTTCCCGTCGTCTGATCATATATTGTCGTGTTGAATCGTAGGACCTGAGCGGTACTTTTTTTTTTCTTCATGGCTTGATACATTTGCAGGCTAATGAAATCGAATGGTATTAGGGGGTTCCACACAGCCACCGGTAAACCGGGATCCAATAGTTAATAAAGTTTATTATAGCACTCTGTACACAACACAGTTCAGGTAGCAATATATTAATAACAACTGCAAATTGCCGATCGCATACGATCTAAAAATGACCGCTGTATCTTGATAGAGTGCAATTAAGCGTTAACTCGCAGACATTCTGTTTAAAGCAGACGATATTCGGACACTCGAGAGAAGTTCGTATGAAAACTACGTTAAAATTATTCTGGGTTAAAGTAAGTCTCATTGCAAGGTGCCACCTTTGTGCGACGTATGACAAACTTTTTTTAAATGATTTATTATTCTGGCTCCGCAAGGGATTGCCTTGGTATCTGTCTCCATATTTAGGTCATTCAATTAGCTGGACTTTGAATAGCGTACCCTTAAGTATGTTTGCCTAATCGTAGATTTAATTGAGAAAACTTGATCAACCTAAAGAATGTTGTTCTAGTTACATACTATGCTGGTCCTAGATAATTTACTAGCCCGTAATTCGATGCAAAAAACTAACCTTTGTTTGTATAGTGTCTGTTCGTAAGGACCAGGCTGCCTAGGTACAATGTTCTACAGGAAGATGTACAATGTTGAGACAATCGTAATATGGTGAGGAGCCGCAAACAAACATTTTTCCAGCAGCCATGTTTAAAAATTTAAAAGGAAGTTGACAGGACGATTTAGTCTTTTTCGCGATCGCTATATGACGACCGCTGAAAAAAGGTAGTCTAGGTTGGAGTACGGGCATAGACGACGGACTTCGTTTCACGCTGGGACCCAGCCTAGCCGTCTGGACAATACCGGACATAAAACTCAAAACATAAAGGCCAATGAACATAACATCATAACAGAATTATGGATCAAGTATAACAGATTAGTCCAGTTTAGGAAAATAAGGCATAAGTGTTTGCCCGCAGTGAATACAGCAATTACTACCGTAACGCACCTCCGTTTTAAAGACTGGCTTTGAGTGGTAAATATTTAATGGCAGGATTAGTAGTACAATTACTCTAAGGTCACCATATTCTGATTCAAATGTGCTATCTATTTTTGCATGTCACAAAAGAGGTCTAATAATAGTCTCCTAAAACCTAAAATTGATGCTAATCACTTACAAAAGGTTATACTGTAGGCCACTGCAGATTAGTGTGAAAAATTAAGGAGTTTTTCTCGCGAAGAATAGCTCACACATTTTAACCAACGATCTTCACAGTCTATGATGTTAGAAGTTTGTCGTGAATCATAATTCATACAAAGCAAGAGCTGTGATGCATTCATTCAAAAAAAGAACCTAAATCCTTAGCTCAAATTAGAGATAAATTTCAATAATTTTTCTTATTCGTTTATCCCGTACACTTACAGTCGGTCAGAATGTCATATAAATTACGAGTAACAAGTGGTGAGCGCGCTCCAAACTGCAACAGGTTCCGTTGCTTAGTGCCTGACTTCCGCGGATTATTACTCATTGTCAGCAAATATGTCAGCGCTCTTTGAGTTCGTAGGTTGTAATGTAGCAACGACGAATCTATATTACATGCAGCGCGTCCTTGTAGGATCAGAGACAGCTGTTCAAAATGCTACCTTTAGAAAAGCAATATCGAATGTGAACATCAGCGAGATTACGCCAACGTGTTCACCAAGGTAATGTAGAGAACCTGCAATCTTAAAATAAAGATGGACCGCTCGAAACGACGATGTTCCACTGCCCTTGGACTGCCAGTAGTAACCCAGTCACCAAACAGATGATGTTTTGTGACGTAGAGCGCGCTCCCCCTTCCCTCTATAAAATCGGCCGCTGCAATATCTGAACCCTAGATTCGATCTGTATTGTGAATATTGTGTAATGCGGTTAATTCGAAAAAAGCGGTGTTGTATTAACGAGGTCGGTATACCCGCGCTTGCCCCATTGTATAATTCGAACTCCTGCGTGCATGTGTGCTTTGTCTGTAGAGGGTGGCATCATATTTCGTTTATAATTCGAATAGTTGTTTTCTTATTGGTTTTGTTTTTTTTTTTTTTTAATAAAAAACTGCAGGGTTTATTGATAGTTGGTTTGATGTTCACAATTCTAATGCCATTCGTTCACAAGCAGGAAGGTTTTGCTGGGATCGTTGCATGGAGCCGGTTGCAACATTACTCAACTCTATCGAGTTGAGTAATGTTGCAAACAGATTCGCAGCAATAAAGTTTAAATTAGTAAAGAAGGCTAACTTTTTAAACACCTACTTCTATATATGACTGCATCTATAATAAATTAAAGACCTTACGTGCCATACATTCTCTACACAATTTAACAAGTTCCAAAAGAACCTTTTCAAATTTTAAATATAACCCGTACATCAAATGTTTCAAGCCATTTTTGAAAAATGAGTATTCGAAGTAAATAATGCGATACAATGTCTGCACGCTTCTTTATTTAAAAAAAAGTTTGACAGCTAAAACCATTAAAATTATGGACAAGATATATCAGTACTACCCCAATAGCTAACTGGAGACTCTTATCGGATGTTTATGGTCAGTTCATAGCTAAACGGAATTTCCAGCAGAGTGCACTAATTTTACGACGTACTTGTTACTAATTGTGTTGCAATTTTTTTTGTTATTTTAGATATCAGCAAAATGTGATCTAAACATCAATCATTGTGTGGGTGTTGCGATAAGTTTTCTGATTATATTTACCACGCGGTTCGATGCATTCATTTACAGAACGGCTAAAACAGGGGTTGCCATCCTTGCCAGGTCGACAGCCATCGATTCTAAGTATGTCATTCACGATAGATACATGTTTGTCAGTACGAAGGTTTGAGACGGACCAATACTTTCTTGGTATCATCCCTATATTCCACATTGGCGTTCGCAGGGTTTGCTTGGCTTGATGAATTTTAGTGGCCTATAGTCATCGCAAGCAACACACATAACTGGCAGTGATCGCAGTTTTTGCATAAATTCTGTCTCTTGAATAGTTTTTAATCGACTAACATGAGATCCGGTTGTGACGATGATTTGTTATTAGGCGCGGGCAGCATGTATGGGTGGTGTGGGTAAGGGCTTTATTTCGCCCTTCCTACCGCCCGGCCTAACGTGCGCCAACCACTCCGGCACATCTGACGAGAACAACACCTCCGGCCGTTTGACTTCATCGTGAGTGACGATGACCGATGTCACTACCTTTCAGGCCCAGCACTCGACTGAATGTCGACTCTTGCCCGATGATGAAGGAGGCGAATTTCTGGCAGGTGCAATGGCTGCCCTAGTCAACATCTCTGTTACGTTTCCCATTAACAAGATTATGTTTCGTCAGATGGTGCATGGTGTACGAACACCGGCTGCCCTAAGCCAAGTGAGTAGGCTTTGGGTAAATACAAGCATATAATTACAGTAAACAGGAAAGCCTTAAATAAATTAAACGGCAAAGTTATTAAACAAACTAGACGCTTATTGCGGAATGAGCTATATTATCGATTACTAATATAAGTTCTAGGATTTAAGGATTAGTATGTTTGGCGTTCAAACACTATTAGGAAGGATTTCAAATGTGGAAGCAAGCGAAGAGCGATAAAATTCGCTGTAGTTCGTATGCATTTTAGCAAAATAAATGCTGATAAATGTGATGGAAATTACTCAGTTACCTGTTTTTCTTCTGTTTCGTTTCTTGCCGCCTCGCGCGATCGGTGTTTGTCATCCACGGCATTGTTAAAGTTGAAGAATGAGGGTCTCGTCACTCTGTACAAAGGCTGTCTACCACCGGTGATCCAGAAAACAATATCAACATCCATCATGTTTGGGACGTATGCCGCGTATCAGCGCTATCTATCAACTCATCTTCCGCAATTAGAAACTAGACGACAGAAGATTCTAGCCGCATTCCTCGCCGGAACGACGGAAGCGGTGCTTTGCCCCCTAGAGCGCGCACAATGTCTCCTCCAAGACGTTGAATACGCGCAACGTTTTAAAAACACGGCTCATGTTTTTTCAGCCATGAGTGCCTACGGCGTTCGTGAATACTACCGAGGGCTAAGCGCCGTATTATTGCGAAACGGTCCCAGTACCATGGTATTTTTTGGGTTACGCGACGTCGTGAGGGAAACGCTTCCGGTAGAACCTCCTAGTAGAAAAGGGCTAAAGGGTCTGCAGCCTGAGCAGATGTTGGCGGACTTCGTCAGTGGGGCATTAGTCGGAGCATTCGTCTCTACGCTGTTCTATCCGATAAATGTCGTTAAAATCCGCATGCAGGTAAGTCGCATGTGGACGATAATCGACTCTCATTATTTGTGTTGTGTGTAAAGCGTTTCTTTAGATCAGTCTGAACCTTAAGAGTCGGCTTGAACCTTCAATAGTGTATTATAGTGTAGTGTTCAATTTTCTTGCTAGCACTAATTTAATATCACTAAGTGCTTTTGCTGCTTCTGCTTCTTAAGTCCATTCAGAAGCGGCATACTTCAGCTAAACATTTTTTTTCGGCTCAATCTCTAGAGATAAATCTCTGGTTTGGATTCAGTTCAAAAAAACATATATTCATTTTTTCATTTAATGTGACCTCTAGTCTTCCACAACGTTCTGTCGTAGGTGGAATACGGTACACCTCACCTGTCGATGTTATCCGCACTCAAGTCGGCCTTCGAGTCGCGGGATCGAAGGATACATAAATTATTCTATGGAGTCCACCTCAACTACTCAAGAGCGCTACTATCCTGGGGAATCACGAATGCGGCATACGAATTTTTTAAGAATCAATACGAGTTATATTACAGGTAATTGTCGTTTAACTACTGTACACAAAACGTGCACATTTCGTTTTATAGTGATTTTAACGTGATGAAGCTCGAGAAGAAAGTGTGCTATTTAGATTTTATCGACTAATTGAAATTAGGAACGGATTGCAACGGAACTGGCAAGATTTGACCTACTCGTTAAATCACTAATTTTTTTAGCCAGGATACGCTTCGATACCGATATTTCGAGGTTCTGACGTTGAGTGCAGTAGAGAATTCCTGTCTAGCATTGTATCGGCTAGAACTAATCATTTTAATTTCGAATACGAAGGATTTCATAATATTATTACTAGAGCGGATAGTACATTCTTTGTGAACTCGTTATTGGGACAACCGAGCGATGTCATTTTTTATGCAAATTTTAGCTTTTTATTTTCTCCATGCTCTATTATGCTATTATATAGCAGTTATTATTGTATAGCGTATTTTATAGCTGTCTGCGCTGCATCTTATCGTATAAGATGCAGCGCTAACAGCTAGTTTCGAACACATACAAATACTCTATGCTATCCGCTGTGCAGGTAGATTTTCTATTCTATCATACAGACTTCAATTTGAAGCATCTAATTCCCTGCGATCTGGCAGTATATTTGGCTAGTCACAGTGCTTAATCACTGTTGCAGCGGACTCTAAACCTGGCTAGGTATTTTGAGGGGTAGCAACGCGAGAGGTAACGGACGGTGGCGCAATATCGTTGTTAACCAAGCATCAGCTCTAATGGTACGGCGTTATACTCACGCAGATGGGCTCACACGCCGATGCGTCATACGTAAAAGTTCGAAGGGAATGTTTTTTCGATGCTGCTAATATCATAACGAATACAGGACTCGGTTTAGCTCGGACAGTGGCACGGCAGTAGTTGTCTGTGGCGACCACAGCAACACCGACACGAACGCCAACAACAACAACAACATCAACAATAACACAGACAAACTTATTTGTCTAGTTCTTGTAGTTGATGATGTTACTGATGTTGCTACTGCTGTTGTTGTCGTTGGTGTTATTAACAATATTAGAATTTTATAATATTTGTATGAACGTTGTATACGTAGCACAGGAAGATTCGTAATATGCTTGTTGTTCGGCTACGGACTTACAAACTGAATTATAGACTACATTAGATTAAACATGGTCTAAAGTGCGCAGAGGTCTCTATGCATCTGAATATACCTACAGTATAGAGCACAGGCACTTATAGCGTTCGTCGAATGACCTGTATGTGTATCATATGAAACGTCAGAGGGGTACACCTTTATATCATAGATGAAGAAAAAAGAATGGCCAGTGTTGCATCTTTATAATCGCAATAGTAAGCACTTGCAGGGGAAACGAATGGTTGCAGACAGAAAGGTAGATGTAACCTAAATGTCAAACTAAGATAAGTTAAAGCCTCACGTAGACTTAGCCACGGACGTAATTAAGCCACAATCTTTGGTAGATCACACAAGTGAAAGTATCTATAAATCTACTATAAATCGTACAAAGCCGAATGTAAAATGGGAGACCTATCAAAGGCAATATGATTTGTGCTTTTGATAAGTATATTTGCCGCAGGCAACAACGCACCCTTATCGTAGATATATTTTTGTATCGTAGATGTAGTTGTATATAGTTATAAATATGTCAAATATTGTTTTCTAACGGCCATTTTGTGCTTGACACATGAATGAAAACACCTGCCACTAATTATGGTTGTTTCAGTGTAAACGTATACATTTCTTGCGGATTTTTCAGGAGCTGTTCTGAATGCCAGAATGAACGATGACAGAATTCACCTGCATGCGTCAGATATTATCGCTATTGGTGATTGATCACGTGTTTGTTGGCAACTGGATTATGGGGTCCATGCAAATTCGAGGTGTTATTATTGACAAGTGCATCTCGGCAAGTGGGTGTGCGACTGATGTGTACAGCTCAATTCAAGCCAGAGGGGCAAAGATAGTGTTTGCTTCGTATACGTCTTCGTCGAAACCAGTGACTAGTCGTCTTAGAATCAAATTTGTTGATCGATATTTTAAGAGTGGGTACATGTGTTGTTATTTCATTAAAGAGCATCGATGTCCGAAATCATTTTTGAAATTATTTTCATAAATATTAACGAAAAAGTTGCGTCTTTGCGTTAGGAGTGTATTTACGGCTGGACTATCACCAGCCGGTGTTTGTTAGTGGGTACGTGTATAGATAAAAAGAAGACGTAACGACATCATACCTCGGGTAGGCATCGTGAGGTTCATTAATGAAAATGGAAAACAAAAAGTAAGCCGGTTGTAAGGTTTAGGGGTATCTAGTTATTAATGTTCACCATTGTAGTTAGATGTGTGTCCCGGTGAACGTAAAATACAACCCTAAAGAAAAAATAGCCTGAGGATGTGACGATGATGCGTCCATGTACATATGCATACACATACAAGTATACTTACACGAGTCAATGATAGCAACCAAAAAGCAAGAGGTTGGGCGCCTTTGTATAGATCCTACGCGCAATGAATATCGAGAGCCGAAGTGCAATTGCCAGATGGTATAAAAAGGTATAGATAAAAAAGCCATATATATATATATATATATATATATATATATATATAGAATGTGCATGTCCAGCCACTGCGGTGGACCGATGTTATATTGTTTCCGATAGTTTGCTTATAAAATAGCTCACACTACGGGGTAACAGCAACAACTCTGTGAGGAGAGAAGTAAAAACTAATTTAACAAAAAAAGAATCAAGAAATAAAATAAGATAAAGAATAAAACACGGATTTGACGGATGCTGTTCACATTTATAGCTACGTGCCTCTCATTTCTGAGTCCTTAGCTTTAATATCATCATCTTGATGCGTATTAGATGAGCATCGTTTTTCTATATATTTTACTGTTTGAAACTATGCTATCATTCTAATTTGATCTTTCGTGTTTTTTTATAAGAGCCCCTTGCATCGTATCATATATTGATATACTTCCTCCCTGAATACATAACATCCAATTTCTTAAATTTGGTTGTACTTAGCAGTGCTGGCGCTGTTGTAAGTACAACTTAAGGGTGCACGATTGAGCTTTATTAGACATAAAAATGTGTGTGCAATTTATCCGGAGATTTTTTTAATAATATCCACCCTAATGTAAAAGTAAACCGAGTTCTTCACTGAAGCTGCATCGAGGAACTGTTATGAAAGCTTCCAAATAGGAGTCGTAGATCAACATTACTGAATTTAGTAACGATGGAAGAAGAAAGTATGATTTACTCAGTAAAAAAAAAAGTGCTGACTGGGACACACATAAACGATCACATTAAAATTAAGATCATAAGTGAGGTAATAATGTGAATTTAGGGTATATATATCAGTTTCGTTGTTGTTGTTGTTGTTGTACTTCCATTCGACAATATTGCGGCCGTTACAATTTATCCATTCTATTCAAGTTGAAATGGTTCTTTGTACTACGTTACCAGGATATCGCAGACAGTGAAAACAGTTCCGAATTCTTATAAATGCTGTAATGCTGTTTGAAATGCTGATATCACCCTCGTTTATTATATCAGTGACCTAAACAATAACATTTTTTAAATTAATAAAGTCAAAGTTTTTATCGCTTTTATACTTTTAACCAGTTCTTCCTTCCACTCTATAATACACTATACTTTGTCTCCGTCGAGCCATCTTCGTTACTGCTCAACTGAGAGAATTGAAAAAGTAAAACTTTTGATATAAACAATTGTGTTTTATTTTAGCATTAGTTGACCTATTCACAGACGGTAACTAAACATGTTTACATGGATATATCCTCCGTTTTTGCCATTAAGGCAATATTTGTCGTTTTTACATATTTTAAGTACAACAAAGAAAACCACCCGAGTAGCATTGAGGTATCTCGGAGGATTCCAAATGACATCGCTCTGTTCCCTCCTCATCTCAAGCTCCGTTTCATCAAACCACATCCACTCACTTCTAATTTCAGATGGCAGACACACACTTTTACAAAAACACTACTCACACTACTTCTACTGCTATATTCCTATTAAGCGATCATATATTTATATACGCGGCGGATTATAGTGGCGGGAGCTATTGGGCAATCCAAGTTGCTTGACACTTCACCCTTTGCCAGTTAGTAAATGATATTGTGTGTATAGCCTCCGTGATAGATCCATTTACGAAAATTCGTAACGGGATGATCGATCACGAGGAACTGCTACTTCAAGGAGTCGTTTATCTGAGCAAACGAATAAGTTGTATTACTTTTTTTTCTTTTAATGCCACTTTTTTGAAGTTGCTTTTTTATCCTGATCGACCTGTTAGTGCGATCAGAATATATGCCATAAAGATGACATTATCAGTACTACATATGTCATACGCATTCTGATGTTTTTATCTCAGATGTTCACGTTTTTAAATCTATGTTTGCTTAGCGGTCCGCCCGTATCTTTGGATCTATTAATAGAGTAAGATTACTTTTATTCACGCTAGGCAGTGACCGAAATAGTTAATAAAAAAAAAATCATCAATTATTATTATAGCAATGATATTTATGAGTAAGAATTAATGTACACAGGACAAAGCATAGTGCTTTGCAGATCATTTTTTAGAGATTTTTTCGAGATCTTCGACGCGGGTTAACTAAATCGTCGCATTACAAAGTATTTTGTGTTTGCGTCTTTCCTATTTATGTGTGATAGCTGGCTCTTTTTTGATCCAACAAAGACTTCGGTGAGATAACCGGCATCCTTCCTCATATATTCGATTTTATGTACACATTCTCCACATCACGGAGCCGTCATCCATTTCAACAAGCACACACCCACACATAGAATAACCAATATAATAATAATAATAAAAATTATTATTATTATTCTTTTCTCCTTCTTCTTTTTCTTTTTCTTCTTCGTCTTCTTCTTCTTCTTATTATTATTATCATTATTATTATTATTATTATTATTATTATTATGTTGTATTTAGACCATTTACTCTCATTTGTTAGAGCAATCACATACGTTTTCCTTGTTACCAACCCCATAAGAACTCACGTACGATACCATTTTCAGAGGTTGTGCTTACGTTGTTCTCGGTTAGTAGCTTATTACATACACAATTTTTCATGAACTTATTCTTTTTGATACGTTACATCGAACGTATTCTTAAACAATTGTAATTTCAGTTCTCCTTCGAGTGTCTCATTCGTGTTAATGTTCAGGATGCAAATGGTGCTACGTGTTTTATTACTCAGGTGGCGAATGATCAGAGAACATATAAATCTCTTAAGTGCAAGTAATATAATGGTATATACAATTAGTTATTAATCGTACTTGAACGTATTCCCACGTTGTAAGTGATCATCCGCATATAGGTTGAATTCAATATTAAATGGTGTAGCATTCTTTTGCCATATCATCAGCATAGAGTAACATAATAACACTATATTATAATATTATTAACGAATGAAATTATGCTTAACGAATTAATACACGGGTTACTTATTGACTGAAAAGCCGAAAACATACTTAATGCTGAAAAAACATTAGGTAAGTATGACTTGTCGCGTTCACTGTTGACTTTGCTAGACAACTGTTTTACGCTATTCACATCATTACCATCCTAATCATCGCCATAGTAATAATTCAATTTTTATATGATAATAAAGACTTTTATGATCTTCGATATTACCATATGCATCATACACCTATAGTGGCTCTTTTTCGAAGGGATTCTCTCATTAAGCTTTTACATTCGGACGATGCACTCCTGTGTTCGTGATAACAGCCCATCAAGACAGTCATCAGCTATGCCCTAGTTGCTTTCGCTTTACTGTGAATAACATTCTCTTATCCAAAATATAATTTTGGACAGAGCCACCTACCTTACCGAATCTTCGGTATCTGTGGCACACCGCCATATTAACGACGATATTTGCACACTCTACTTCCTCATATAAACGCATGTAATTCCGCCGCCCTTCTCACCATTGTTATGCACACATAATTAATTGTTTTTTTTACATTAATATTATTATTATTATTGTTATTATCCAGCTTTTTCAACTGCTCCGTCATCACGTATAAGACTACGTAGTACTAAAATACAACTGCTTTCTTTTGCCGTTTGGTGCACATGTCTTCTTATGCTTTTTCGTTAATCTTAGGTGACCACTCATTGTTATTATGTTGTTAGCCTCGATTTTGATCGCGACGGCAACGATGCTTGTGGGATTCTTTGCCTTAGCAACATTACGACTTCGGCGCTCCTCAGACAGCGTCTAGGCAAAACAATAATCTTTCGTGGGACATTATTAAAGACTTTTGACGAGGGTTTAAAAGCCCCACCGCCTGCAGTCGCACTGGTCGTTTTTGAATGTAGCATAACCCGTGGCGTTGATCTCCCAGTAACAGGGGTTGTTAGCGTGCGGTTGAAGCAATGGCGGCGCTGTCACCTGGCATCGCGAAGTGCACGCGTGAAGTCTCTTCTCAGCTTAACAATCCGGCCTTTTGACGAAGTGACAACGGTATCCTCCGTTTCGTCGTCGTCGTTCTCGTCATCTAGAAACTCATCTTCATCGGAAGGATCCTCGCGATAATCAACCTTATGGTGAGATCTTCCCTTTGTACGAGTCACGCGTCCTGAATATAAAATGGACAGAATAAAAAAAGAAACGGATGCCGACCATTAATGATTATGATAAATCGTTTGATGTTCCTTTTTATCTTCTGTCTTTTTGTTGTTATTCAAAGAAGCAGTCAACTGAAATCTTACTTAGATAATAAGGGCATATTTATCAGAAACAAAGATCAAAACTGAAAGATGATACGCTCGAAAAACTTTATTCAGCTTCACACGCCGGATAGATACCGGTAGAGTATCTCCTTACATAACTTATACGTTGCAGCTCACCTGCATCGGAAATTTGGCCAGGCGACGTCTTTGTCGACAACGTAGTTACCGCTTTTCGACGTGACTGAGAACTTCCGCTCCCGGACTCTGAGCTCCTTCCGCTTGCCCTAGATGCCCCGTCTGACTGAGGCGAAGAGTGCCGCTTAGCTCTTCTCCCTACGGAAGGTGTGAAAACATACACTCCACTGAGTTAGGACTTCACACACCGTAGGATTTACTGAATCCTCCATGCACTAGCTAGCGTCGGTATTTTGGATGGGTATACACGATGAAAACAGTTAGAAATCTGGTTCAATTATGTCGATGAATAGTAATGAACTGCACCATTTACAAAGATATTATATATTTACATGCAAGTTATACCTCTTGCTTCCTGCTCAGTACTCACCATTACCGTTGGAGATAGGCGAATGCTGCTGACGGACACCTCTCGGTGCTGTTGCATCCTGGTGGGTACTGTTTGCAGCTCTCCGCTTCTTCGATGGCGGGGAACCGTATCGACTGCCTTCGTCGTCTAAGGCGTCGTCATTTGCATCGCTCTCCTCATCTACAACGATTCGCTTTGTACGAGCTGCCGTTCGCACCGCTCGCGGCCGGTCAGTGCCTGGTCCACCGCTGCTAGACTTCGATTGTTGGAATGGTGTATGCGAGGTCTGGTCCTTGTTTCTCGATGACCGTCTCGTCAAGGGCGATAGCGTTTCTTCTTCTGCGGTTACGCCTTCGCTTGTCCTGTCCGCGTCATCCTCTGCATTGTCATTGTCTGCTTCATCATCATCCGATTCCGTAACCATCCTTCGTGCCGGTCGTGAAGAGTTACTATTATTATTATTATTTTTATTGTTGTTATTACTTGTCGATGACGGTGGTTGCTTTCTCGACGTCCGCCGGCCTCCACCGCCATCCATTTGTTGGCCACGTGAGCCACCGCGTGCTCCACCTCTCCGGCCCGGCGATTCCTCCGTTGTTATCTCCTCCGAGGTCCCGTCTTCCTCCTCGTCGGCCTCGTCTTCATCCTCCTCCTCCTCTTCGTCCTCGTCGTGTTGCTCGAAGAGATCTTCTTCCTCGTACGAAGACTCCCGATGAGCCCCGCCTCGCTGCGAGATTCGTGCCTTTTTAGGGGGCGGCGGTCGATGCCGAAGGCGCGACGAGCTGGCTGTGGATTTCTTGTTGTTTCGGGGAGACAACAGGCCGGAGTCGTCGGAGGTTGCTGGACTCGAACCACTGTTTGATGCCGAGGTTGACGGAGACGTGATCGTCGATGACGACGCTGACCCGCTGGTACCCATAACTAAAGAGGGCCACAACAGTACGTATTATAAACAAGCTCTTTTAGCCCATGTGTTCTCTGTAGGATACCACAAGGATATCACAAATAACGTAAGCAGATTGCCGATGGTGTAAACGAAGTATTTAATATTTCTCTCCTAATAAACCGGACAGTTTCGATACATTCTTTATTGTATTAATTGTGCATAAAAGAAATTCATCCTTTGTGCTACTTACGTTTGACCGTTCTGCCACTCCTGGTTACGAGTTGTCTGGTCGGTGTACTGCCGTCCTGACGCGGCTGTTCGTGGCTTTCCCCGGAGCTCTGCGGCTCCTCGTCCTCAGTCGACGTCGCTAACATCATCGGGCGCTTCCGCTGCTCCCGCTGATGACTTGATGAAGATAATGACACTTTTCCCGAGCTTGGCCGAATCTGATGACGCCGCTGTGCTGAGCCCATAGGTCTTCTGCGGTCTGAGCTTTCCTGCGATCGGCCAGATTGCCTGCTGCTTTTACGGCTACGCTCGGCTCTCTCCGCGTCGCTTATGGACACCATGTCTCTGAACAGAGTTGGCCGTACGATCCGTCCAGATCTCGTACTCTTGGCAGAGGATGAATTCACCCCGTCAGTATTTTCCTGATCGAGATCGTCTTCTCCATGGTCGTCGTCACTTTCAATGACACGGTGATGCCTCCGTAACGAGCGACTTCCCGCACCGCCACTCGTTGACATGCCCGACCCACTTGCAGTGTGGTGCCCATTCCGGTGATAGCCGTTGGCGACAATCGAATGTCCAGAACGTCGTCCGTTGCTATACCCAGATGACCCTGTGCCGTTCCTCGAATGTTGCTGCTGCGGGTGAGATCGACTTCGGGGTCGGATCTCTTCGGAGTCAATTTCCTCCATATCATCATCGTCCTCCTCATCACTGTCGTCTTCCCCGTAAGTTTTGCGTCCTTGTAATCGCTTCATGGCTGCACGATGCTCATGCATGATGGCTCTCATTTCATTTTCGAACATTGCTGACAGCCGACATGTCATCGAGTAGATTCTCGAACGCTTGTTGGTGTTATAATTTTTTGAGTTGGTAAAAATGAGCTGCATATCGCTAGCGAATTCTTCGGGGGTAGCATAATCGGCGTTTGTCAATTTTTGACTCACGGTTGCTGAAATCGTAGAAGAAACATCGAAACGTAGGAGGCTATCGATTGCCAGTTGTGCAATGAAGCAGTCGCACTATGTCAACAAAGATTTCATAACACAACTTAATGAGAAGAGTTATCCTTTTCTCATAGCGTGACCGTTCTTGAATCAAACAACCCTCTCAGTATTTAATGTATGAAGATGGAAAAAGTTGCGCAGAGAATTTTTCACTTACATAGATCCATAGGCATATCCACTACTTCTAAATAATCTTGAAATTCGTCTAAGTCAACAGGTTGTCTGAAGGGCTGAGAATCTTCAATTTGATTCAGCATGGCAATTAACAAGGCGCAACGATCACGCCAATTCGAGGTCGTACGAGTTGTTGGACGACGAACCTCTTCACGTGCTTTCTTCGGACTTGAGCGTGACGCCGAATATAGAGAACCGCTTAGGTACAGCCTAAAATAAACAATATACGCTGTTGATCAATTTTGGCAGCAAAAAAACAATACTTTCTCAAATCATTTATCGCTTGACTCTGTAACGTATTGAGTTTAAGTTACACTACCTGGCTTTCGTTGTATCCTCGCAAGGCATAACAACTTCTAGAACCTTTTTTTCCTACTCACCTCCTACTTGGTCCAGAGCATCCAGAGTCGTCCGAACTAATGTTGCCTTTCGGCGCTACAGTCTCGCCATTGAGACGCTGATAGATCGTGATCGGATCGTCACAAGTCATATCGTTTACATATGCCAACAACACTCGCGTTATCAGCGAGGCCTGTTTCACAATTGCCGAGTTGGGCTCATTGAACTTGTTGGCATTGTATTCCACATACGTAATATCAAATTTAATACCCTCTTTGCGCCGATAGAAGTTGTTCTCAAGCCGAGAGCGAATTGTTGTAAGATCGATGGGGTATGCAATGATCATAGCGTAATCAGGATAAACGTTCAAATCGACAGGGACTAGGAATGGTTCAGCTATTGCCAGTCCCATTACCCTATCTAAACCTGTCATCATTCGCGTTCTGAATGCGTCTCGAGACTCGATGTTGAAATCTTCCTGCGAAGGAACGTATTGCATAGCTTCTCGTTCCTCAGGACTGATGTCTACGCCTGTGCCTTCCACGGCCGGTAGACGGGTGTGGTCGATTTGCTCAAAGTCCCACGGGGACATTCGTTCTTCCTCGCCGTTGTCCCAGCGAACAATGAAACACTGGAACATTGAATCAGGAAACTCTGACTGTATTGGCTCATGTTGAGTAATCGTTCCAAGCCACCACTGATCCTCGATGATGGAGCGAAAACGATCACCCGGTTTCCAGTCACGTAGCATGGCCGTCTGGAAGCTCTGGTACAATACGAGAAAGTCGATTACGTCTGACGTATCATGGTAGCGGATCCAGAACGGCTCAGCACAGCCAGCATCGACGGGATCTGTGCACTCAACCTGGACACAGCACAACCGCGGCGGTAGTAGTTCGAAGCGAACATTCAGAACGCGAACCTTCTCCTGTTCGCGCAGTCGTTTATTCCAAACGAATTGGTGATGTTTTCCGGCCTTGTAGAGCTTTAGACGACGTACAGCATCGCAGTACAACTGATGACCCTGCTGGAAGTACATGATTATATCGCCCACTTGCGGTAAGTACGGCGTTCGTCGCGGCATCGTATCCGTGAGCCAGTCCGGAAATCGAAACTTTTCGGGAACTTCTCGTACGTTGCCGTTACCGCTTGATGTTCTTGCTGACGAACCGTGCGAATGGTCACCGCCAGCAGATAGCCGATGACGATGGTGATGCTGGTGATGGTCCCGCTGGTTCTGGGGACTCAGGTCATTGACCGCCTCGCCGTCATGTTCCAGGCTGTCATCATCTTCATCGTCACGGCGCCTGTCACGTCTCCTTTCAGTCGTCCTCTGGCCAGCTCCGCTTCTCAAAGGTTGTCTCCGTTTAGCACTACTACTACTACCACTGCTGCTATTACCGCCTCCGGCAGCCGTCGCTGATCTCGAAGTTTGGCGACGCTCTTGTGGCCGTTTGCGCTCGGGCGGCTGACGATGGCGAACAGATCTTCGCACACTGGCACTGCCACTGCTTCCGCTGCTGCCACTAGTGCCGTCATTCTGTTGATGATCCGACGTTGGCGTATTGTCGGCGTCACCGCCGCCGTCCGCACCCCCGGTATCGTCGTCCTGGCTACTCTCCTCTGATCGCTCGTCTGTCTCCTCACTGCTACTCGGTGTCGATGGCTGAGCACTGGTTGGCTCTTCCCGCACAGCATTACGTCGACTGCGTGTTGCTAAAAAATTCAACAAAAAGAGGATAATAAAAAAAATGAAAAGACCAGCTGCTGTAGCGCGTGCAGCATTCACTAACTAACACCTTGTTGCATCAGATAAAAAAAATTTATCCCTAACCCAGTCTCGATATCATCAATTCCAGTGAGGAAAAACGCCCTTATTTTGGAATAGAAAATATAAATATACGCGAATTCATCACTATGCAAGTCAGCACGTCACCCAGAAAAAATCTGCGATTCGGCACCTAATTCCACTCCTGCGCACTGATGGTCATAACGAAGAACGAAAGATGGTTTAAAAAGAGGATTGATGCAACTCTTCGTTACCATTAGAAGAATGGCTTGACGAAAAGGAACCGAGTAGACTTCCGTCGTCAGAATCAAACGTCGCATTTGCCCTGGGGGCTTGCCTTGGACGAAGACGATAGTTCCGGGCTGTTATAGTCATAAAAAGGCTTCAGTATCGAAGTGAAGCGAGCGTCATAATCGTAATCGTTGGCTGTTGCTGGTCGTAAGAATAACAAGCCGCCGTTAATACAGCGACCCCCAACGTGCATTCACTCGTAGCTTATCATTTTATTCTAACGAAAAAATGCGCTAACCTGGCAAAGAAATTCAACTCAAAACAACGAAACACGAACGGTTCAGGCTGGTGAACAAAACAAGTTAGTCAGAAAAATTCGGACAATGTTTAACGATCCCGTGTGTCGTTCCGCCAACTTACTGCCTCTCTGGCGACTCGAGCCGGCTGGGCCTGAGGCGCCACCGCTGCCGCTGTGGCCAGTTGCGTCTCTGCCGCCGCCGCCGCTGCTGCTCCCGCCACCAGCACCACCGCCTCGACCTCCACTACTCGTCGCATGACTGTTCCGACTGCTCCCGTTTGTGTGACTGCTGGCGTTGTTGCGGTTCCTCGTGCGATCTCTTCCGGATGAATCTTGTTCGTAATCAGAATCGCTCTCTCCGACCTCCTCGAAATCGTCGTCATCCATTTCCATCTCATCCTCAGCGACTGCGGCAGCGGCCGAACGTGAAGCTGAAAAACAGATGGCAAAAAATTATAGCCCAAAAATGATGCAGTATTCCGTATTGTACAGCACGGAATGCTATGGAATATGGAATGTGCCAACCAAATGGTGGCTTCAAATGTTCAGACTGTTCACTTAATCGACAATCTAATTTACATGGGAACGAAGTTTTGGGTTTATTAAAAAGTAAGGTGCAATACGCTAAGCATCAAGGCAATGATAGGATACGACATCACTAAGAATCATGTTGGAAATAAATATTTTTTTAACTTGTACATACATCGCGAGCTGTTCTGCGATGATAGTAAGCTCAAAGTCATAACGCCGCGTCGGCTTCGGCTAGAGCCGCTTGTAGCTGCCTTATTCTCTTTCTGCCGTAATCCGTAACTGCGCTGTCCGCCATTTTCAACAGGCTGATCCTTACGTTTTTCCCTTATAAACTCTACAATCTCAGTGTCAGCCAACAGCCGCATGCGCTCCAGTTCACGTTCGAGTTCCGCTTCTTTCATTTGCTCCATAACCGGACGCTTATTCAACCCTGATGACTGTGCACTTGAAGTTTCAGACGTTGCGCCGGATTGGAGTTGTTGCCAGTTGTTACCTCCTTGTCGAACGCCCTCGACCTCTCCATCACGGCGCATGCCTCCTCGACTTGACGGGGTGCCAGGCATCCCTCGAGCAGGTGGCATCCGTGGACCGTCATTAGACGGGATAGCTGGTCCCGCCTGCTCTTCGCCTTGTTGCTGCTGTAGCCGTTGAATCATATCGTCAATGTTCAGTCGCCTGTTCACTACCCCAATACCAGCTGGCTCCTGTTCAGGTCCGTCAGCGGGGTTGTCGCGAACAATCTGTGCCATAACAGGGACAAGCAAATTTTCAGGACAGTTTTCTCGACCAGGTACAAGGCGTTGAATTGCGGCCGGATACGGATTACCGTCAATGTCAACAAGAAAAGGTGGCGGTAGCAAGTGCGGAGCTAGCTGGCTCTGTTCATCGAGTACGTGATGATTAGCATCACGTATCAAAGGGCGGTAATCAGTGTGAAAGAACTGCTCGACTGGCACTTTCTGGTAGGCCTCGCCGCTACCAATACCATAGATCGAGAGATGGCCGTGCGAGTCAGTAGCACAGAAGGTCAGTCCGTTAGGAGAAACTTTCAGGTCGAACATCGCACCGAAGCCTTGGCCCTCAAAAAAGTTGAAAAAAGTTTTAATTGCTTTCGACGTCGTCATATCCCAAATTATTACACGACCATCGTGGCCGCCTGTATACAATATGCGTCGATCTGTCGGGTGACACTCAAGTGCATACACGTCGTCCTCATGACCTTTGAGAACGGCCAGCAGTTGGCCCGTGTAGCTATTCCAGACCTTTATGGAATGGTCTCGCACGGTAGTGAGCACTTTCGAATCATCCCGAGTCCAAGCCACCATGTTGACCTTCATCGTATGGTTGGGCGCCGTGCCAGCTTGCGGCTCCAGGACTGTTGTCATTTTGAGCGTAATAGCCGTCCACCGATTCGCCTTGAACGACCAAATATTCGCTGTGCCATCCTTGGATCCACTAATGAGTCGCATGTCGTTATTGGCAAACTGAATTGAGTCTACACGATCCGTATGCCTAGATAGCTCGGCGATTCTCTCAGGTTCCTGTTTGCAGCTCAACGATTCGTTCGGTTTAAAGACCTGGTATATTCGCACCATATGATCTTGACATCCAGTCGCTAAAAGTGTGCCTCCTGGACTGAAGGACTGACAAAGAACTTGAGTCCTCGTGCGATCTATGAAGCGGCGCGGTTCGCTTTGGAACGTCCTTTTACGTCGATCATATTCCCAGAAGCATAGACCGTCCTGGGCAGTAGATGATAGAAAAGATTTGTCCTGCCGTACCGAAGGGCAAAATTTCAAGGAGGTGACCGTTGTTCCGTGTCCTATCAGGACGGCCACAGGTCGCAGAGTGCGCAGACACCAAACACGAATTGTTTTATCTAGGGAACCGGATGCGAGCAAACTGTTGTCGGGACTCAGAGACAAATCGGTGATTTCCGATTGATGACCTCGTAGAGTTGCCCTCAGACGGCCATCCGTTGCGCTCCAAATTTTGACTAGATGATCATCGGCTCCCGTGAATATGTACCTTCCGGTATGATCGAAAAGCACACAGTACACTGCTTGCAGATGACCCATAATTCGACGATACAAGCTCGATCCACTGTACCAGCTTATTGGCACGGCGCTCATCATGTTTCTGTGCGGGTTCACTTTTGAGCCTTCGATGAGCAGCGCTAAAGAAGGACACTGAGTTGTGGACATGTTCAACGGACGACGATCGAGTCGCTTATGGAGATATTCGCCCGTTCGCAGCGGTCTTTTCGACGCCACCGACTCCTTAGTCCGAAGAACTGAATATCGGCCACATCCCAAAAGTGTTGGCGGTGCACGAGGCAGCGTTGTGGGTACTGTGATAGATAACTGGGTGACCAGGTTTTCGCACATCCGGAGAAGATGATCCGACTGTACTGGCCATCTCTCCACCTATATGAACAAAACAAAATAACGGAATACAGGTTATGATACAAGACTAACGAGCACTTAGAGCCACTCCTAAGCTATACCAAAGCACTACTATTATCTACTCTAAACCATATCTATGAAATCTTACGTACTAACATACAATAATATCTTATTGTATCCTCATACAAAGCTAAATATGAATATAAGAAACATCAGTGATGGTATATGTACTATCGATAGATCCGCAAATGTCAGCTTTGTTGGAGATTCTGTGCATGTTAGATGTCCATACCAGGTGTGTAACGACACTCACCATTTCTTCGACAGTAACATCGTGGCGTCCGTTTTCCCAATCTGTTCGCTGTGGCAGTAGCTAAAACGCACACAATTGGAAGCATCGTGACTTAATAAATCAATATTATTCAAGCATGCGTTTGATTTTATATAGACGTGGTGTATATGTCAAAAATTACGGGTGTTACAATGATTTATTGTTGGAAATAGCAGATTTGGCCTGTCCACAGCACGAGCAACTCTCAAACAAGCCATCAAAGGTCAAAATTATACAAACCAACGAGTAATTCTAAAATTCGCTACATTTGTTTCTACATTCGGTATAGTGTTTTCAGTCAACAGCGCTCATCTTTAGCAAACAGGGTTAAAGGCGCAGTATTACTTCCTCTTATCTATCGATCTTCCCATTCATATCGATATTCGACCATTTGTGTTTTGTTCGAAAAAAGGCCAACAAATAAAATGCTCGCTACACAATTTGAAAAACACACGTTCCTAACATAGTTCAACGCCTATTTTCGACTTCTGTATCTATTTAAACGATGACCTCCATCTAGACAGAGTATGTGGCACACGGTCACATATAGCCAAATGGACAAACAAAACATGGCTATCTTTGCGTGTGTATTGCTTCATAGATATATCCACGAAACAAATGTACAAAACCTACCCTGTGTTCGTTGATTTCTTGTCGGAGAACCCTTGCAGCCGCTTCGCACGGTCCCGTCTCGAGAAATCTCGCTATCAAATAGTAGAGCTCTGTGAAATACAATTAGCACTTTTCAGCCATTAGAGCCCACATTTTCCTATTGCTGCAGATTCTAACCTAACAATTTGCACCAAAAATCGCCGAATATAATTTCCACTCAGAATACACCATCAATGCGATGCCTATATGTGTTTATATGTATATATGAATGAATGCTGCGTTGACGAACACCATATCGCCCTGACTCATAGCGACTCAATTTCCCGTCTCACCAGTTACATTTTATAAGCCCAATTTATTGCATATAATAGATGCTCCTAGATAATCATTATGTGAGAAATCATTTTAATAACATTAAAATATAGCCTCTAAAAATGGCATGAATTGGCTAGCGACTAATTCCTCAAGCAAGATCCGTTCATGGTTTCGACAGCTGCACACCTAAAGTCCTGTCTGCTCAGGCTGATTACACACAATCGACTTCCAAGAACATTATTCGTTTTGATGCAAATAGCACCAAGCCACATAGCCCTAACTCCTGAAACTCAATAAGCACTACAGCCATCTATGGAAAAGCAACTTAGGATTGAAATAGGCACGAACATCGATAATACGATGGTCTAAATCGTGCATTTGGAATCTACTTTGGCCTCTTGTCCTAGCTGCTGCTACGGCTGTTTATACTGCTGTTTGTTGTATGCAAGTCTGTTCGACTCCGTCAATGGCCTAACGGTCCTCGAGAGTTTTAGATCCGAATTCGACCTACCTTGCTCCAGTCGGTCCGGGGAAGGCATCGCGACTTCCCTCTCACGTACACTGCATATTATAGCCACTCACACACACTGCAAACCACCTCAAAACGCTCAAAAAGCCCACTGAATACGCTCCGTAGCTACGGATCTCTCGCACACTAAATGCAGCACTGCGTCCAGACCGCATCGCACTGGGACAGGCCCGTTCGGCGCGAGCATCTAGAACCGGAGTAAACATGACTTTTTATAGCGTTTTGTTATTGCAAAGTGTTTTCCACATGAGCTATTGTCAACTAGAACCTTTAGCCAATTGTTTTGATGGTATATTTGTTGAAAAGTGCAATGACGCAAAAGACCCAAACGTTGATGAGGGCCCTCGGTGAATTCGCCTGTCTTACGGGGCTCGTTGGAAGCGCACGTGCGTTTGTTTATGGGGTATAAGCCGGTAAGGCTCTTAGTAGATGCAAACATCATTTTTGTCCAGTCGGACATCTATAGCTGTGATCACTAGCCGCCGGTGATCATTCCTGCCAAAAATTGGGCACTATTATTTTGTACATGCAAATTTCAACATTTTCCATACTTTTGCCCTCCCCGTTAGGGGTCAATGACCTTGGAGGACAAAATGTGTCGATGAGGTGAAGTGGTCAGAAATAGGGCATTCGACCCCTCAAACTTCGTCCCACGTCACAGCCGATAATAATCCGCCAAATAAAGATTTCGAAAATTTGACTGAAAATTTTGACAAAACGACGATTTTTTTGAACGCTGATCGAGTTTCTTAGGCGGCCTGCGCCGTTGAAAAGTCCTATTACATGCTTAAAGTCAAATTAAGACAAAAAATCGTAAATAACAAGAGATTAAAGCCTTACTTGGGCAATATCTTCACCTCAACAACTTAATTATATCAATACATGACAGGAATACAAGTATATCATACTTTACGTTACGTGTTGACAACGTAAGGTCAAGGTCCTTCCATTGATGACATAACTGTCAATATCTGTAACCCTTTATGTATTTCCATCAATAGCAAATGATAATCTATGCTATTTTAGAATCTAGCATAGAACTGCGAGTTTCTCGGATCAAAAAAAGACTAATAACAGTGCGAAATGCAAAATCTAGTATTTTTTTAATCTCCACTTTCTAGCTTGGCACTCAGCGCAACGATATGCTCACTCGCTCGAAACCATTGGGCATCTAATCATTTACCTAGCCCATTAGCTTCTATGTCATAGCCCCGCAAGTAACAGTTCAATTAAAGGAAATGAAGCACCCGGACGTGCGGTATTCGGCCAAGTGAAGTAACCCCCGGATATTCATTATAATACGTGGCTAATAATAACAGTGTGAATACAACTAGTGTTTGATATAATCTCGTAATTTGCCTTCGATTAGCTTCCACAAACAAAATGTTAATTTATTCCTTGTATGAATTGCACTGTTCGTATTCAGCTGGAATACGCGACTTCCGGGCGCAGATGAAGGCAGTTTGCGTCATTGACGTTATTCTGTTTCGAACACTGATAGAGCAGAGAACATTGTACATGCGTAAGGATTGTGAAAACTAGGGTAAATCATTAGGTGCAGTTAGGCACTGAAAGCAGTCGATAGTTAGAAAATATTTTATTGTTGACTGTGAGTATAATTCATCACGTCATACAAATATTAATATTTGTTCTGAAATAAACACTGTAGCTCAGTCGGGGTTTATTTAGCTTGTCCAATGACCTAGATCCGAATAGAAAAGTTTTTTTGCATTTTCCTACTCTTAAAAGGTGTTTAACGATGTATGTGTTATTGGACGCTGCATTCAAGCATACGAATCAATAGAGTGTCCCCTCCTGAAGGCGACGGTATTTGCATACGCGAATCGCAACTAGCCTGTGGTGCAGCGTGTCGCACACAGATGATTACAGGGTCAATACACGCAAAGAGAAGGATTTTGCCGAGAATATAATACTTATTGCTGTTCAAATCGGAACTTCTTTTTCCTTCCATCGTGTAGTTTTACAAACATGCCCGCATCTTAATTTTGTTGCGAATATTTTCTGATAGTAGCTATAAATAGTAGAAAAGTACCCCCACATGAACGTGTGACCAAAATGTGAAAGACAAAATATGCTTCTAAGGAAGCTTCGGCGTAACAAATAATTGCGATGCACGCGACCTGTGAGAAATGCTGCGAATATAATCCAGGCAAATTAGCCTTTCCGTTTGTTGTCAGCTAACATATCTTGGTCATATAATAATAACCGGGAGTTATTTACGTAGCCTTGTCTCCGCGTTTCAAAAGTTGTGTAGATCAACACAGTTAGGCTATGCTATTCTTTGGTTTTTGCCAGCTAATTAGCAATTATCTGGCGGCCTACCCTCTGACGAGCCTTAACTTCAATATTAAATACACTTCCCCTTTTTAGTAATTGTGATGGTCCAGTTATACACGATCTGTTCTAATGTGTTGTATCATTCTGTATATGGCATACAGGGTAAGTTTTTATTTCTGCCATTACCTGTTCATGTATTCCTTCGCCGCTTATTATTTCCTAGCAAGTATAAAATCTGTGTGATGCTAACAAATAGCAAACGCACCCGTCGGAGGAAAAAAAAACGATAAATGCCAATTTTGCACGCTTTTTGTTCATTTTTATGGGGCTGCTCATTATATACGAGAGATTTCGCCATTCGTATGACTACTGAGCTCTGCTAGGATATGAATAAGACCATTCTGTTAGTCGCCGTCACAAGTGCCTACATTGCAGTTCCGCTTGTGGTCTGATTGCTGCGGCTACTGTTTCTTTATGTAATATAGGGTTGAATAGATTGCTTACAGATAATTTTTGTACAATTGTTTATAGCAGTTAACTATCTAGGCATATACATGGTTGCGAGTAACTTGTTTTTATGCAGTCTTCGGATATAGCCCTATTTTCCTTGACATTATAGTCGTTTCAGATTCCATGCCCACTAACCAGTCGAGAGGCTATTTTGGGTCAATTTCTAGTCTTGAAGTTCTCGCAGCTTTATTAGACAGTATCGTGTATTTGTTTCACACCTCACTTTGTTGCTTCAAGCCTATGCTTACTGATCAAACACTTAAGTACCCGCGCATATCTTTCATATTTGATTCGATATTACAATATTTAAAATTTGGTGTAATAGAAAAAGGTATGACACAGTTGGAGTGGTTTTGTTTGCGCGTACGTGGTTGAACCGCGAAAGAACCATTTGCGATGTCGGTATGTGCCGCATTAAATGGTTGAGCTGAAAATATGCCTTTTACATTATTTGTCTGATGTGTAATAATCACAACATAACCATCTAATAAAACTATCAAATACTGGAGTGTCAACCAAGCGTTAATGCTCGGACGTCCTATTATATCGGCTATCATATTCGGCATTAGAATGCTTTCCTTAACTAATACGTATTTTAGCGTTTATAACAATGAAACTAACTAAGTGCGTAAATCAGAAACGTAATTCAGAAATGCGCTCAGCATAAAAGTATGAACTTAGTTGTTTCCGATTCGGAACGTTATTTCTTTGATACAACATATTTCTTTAGTATTACACTGTTCCCTTCTTAGATTTTTTTTTACCAAATATAGCGGTAATAACGCACGTCACAAACACATTCATCTACTTTAAGCATTGTTTCATACGCAACTGAATAATGTAATAGTATCACTTTTCAATATATAAGTTTCGGCCTTCATGGCGTTAAAGTAGCATCCAATATTTCGGCTAAATTCTCAGGGTAAAGCTACCACTACTTCTCACGTTTACTGTTACTTTGCTTAATTGTTCTTTGGCTTTATAAAATCATTCCTATTTGTTTTGATTCAATAGTCGATTTGAATGTGCTTCTGACTTTTTTTACCTTCATTCTCACTTGCCTCAATCATTACTCTGCCCATGATTTGTCTATTCAGCTCATAAATTATATATTCTTTTTTACCGATTCAATTTGTAGCAGGCGCATGCATATACCGCGCAGTTTAATTATCCTGTAAGTACTCCACTCATTATCGACTATTGACACTATATATGTGGTTTAATTTTGCCTCGCGATCGAGCTTAGGTTGTGTTTTCCAAAAGAGAATTAACTGCATTCTTCATGGTATTGATGAGTATTTTTTAATGAAGGCCCCTCCCGTTTCATCATCCTTCTAAATATGCATATATTCATAGATTTCTACGTCACTTACGCTCCACGTAAAGCATACAAAGTTAAGAATAGTCTTAATTAATTGTATGGAGACTATTCTTAGCTTCGTTTTATTGTATACTATAATAGAATACGCTTTGCGTTTCTACTGGCTTCATCTCCCACCAAATTCCTAGATCTTTATCAGTTTTCCTTTACTTCCATGCTCGTAACCAATAACCTGTAATTCAACATAACACTTTGATTAACACTTAATAGTCTAGCCACTGGCACGCCAGTGAATTAGGAAAACATTTTCCAATATTTATACGCCTTACTTTCTTTAATTAACATGTACTTGTAGCGCGTGAATTCTTGTGTGTATTCCCGCATTCCTATTTATTAGGGAGAACTATTCACTTTCCATTTGCCGCATTTGGCAATATAATCGTATTGATCGATCGATGATCGTGAGTCATACGAAACCCATAGTCATAGTAAAATGATTTTAAAGATTCAATGGTAAGAGTGTTTAAATTGTATTCATCATTTTCTGGGTTACAACGGGCTGCGACTTAGCTCAGATGAGTGCTTGAATAGCGTTATATGCTCTATAGTTGCTACTAGCTTCCAAGTGTAACCGTAGTGTCTACATGTGAATATGGTATAGGCAATTATTCGTCATATTATCACACATACACTGTATGAGTAGAAGGTGTCGTGCAGTGTGGAGGATGCGTGCCAATCGATATACAATTACATTATGCCATATGAAGTGTTTTTGGATTACAGGACGTGTCTGAAACGCTATACCCTTGGTGGTTGGCTGCCTTGATGGGGTCATCGGACCGAAGTGAATTAATTGTATCTTCAACTTGGTTTCGGTATAGTCGCCACTTACAAAGCTTTGCTAACCGCATTGCCGTTGCATAAAGGTGCATTTTATTTGTATTACAGTTTTATTTACCTGAGAAGAAGCGAAATGCCGCCTGTCCTTCGTATTATGATGGTACAAAAGGGCTGTGCCAATCGACCGTTCTATCACATAGTAGCAACGCATCTTAGAAGGCGGCCTGATCAGCCTACACTCGAGCAAATCGGAAGCTTTGACCCCATGCCAAATGAACACAATGAGAACCTCGTAAGCATCAATTACGACAGGTACGTCCCGTCTGCGTTTAACCTGATCTGAGTAAGGGTTCTGAGGTTTTCACCAATCGCCAGTGATTAACGAGCAAGATTCTCATGAACAGTTTATGGGTTAACTGTACTAATGTGCTACACTAATTAAATATGGAACCACAACTCCATCCGTTCTTTTGTAAGGATGTGGCATTTGAAGACACTTCATGATCGAATTAAAAATAAGCTCATAGATATAAGATTCTAATATAGCAGATGAAATTTAGAGAACCATAGTCATATTAGATTGCTTCGAATATTTGTGATGTTAAAGTGTTTTTTGCGATGATAACAAAACCCACATCCATAATTTGAGCAAATTAAAAAGACTTAAAAACATATTGCCGAGAAGCAAAACGGTAATTTATTATGAGAACCTTTGGGATCCCGCATTACCTTTAATGCAAGTAGGTAAGCTTTTGTACTATATCTCCAAGTTATATTAGTTACGTATGCTATACGTAATAAACAATTAATAGACTTCGTATGACTAATTTTTTAAGTATAGTACATGCCGTTTGGAAAACTAGCATTTCTAAAATATGTGAATCGATATGCATTAATTTCAGATTAAACTATTGGCTCGGACAGGGCGCAACACCAGCCCGTGGCGTTGGCATGTTGCTTGGCATGGCCGGATATACAATGCTGCACCCGTACAGTTATAAGCGCGCATGGGAAGTTCGACTAAAAAATATGGATATGAAGTCCTCAACAACGGACGTTCCCACGAAACCGCCGGAGGCTTAGCATAAAGCCACAGCAGAAGAACTCAAAGAAGCGGTATCCGCTAGTAATTAATTATCTCTTTAGTATATATTATGTTACTGTAACGAATTATACTGTTTGAACGAATATTAAACATATTTTTAGATATGACAGCCAAATAATTACCAAGAAATCTTTATTTTTAAGCAATTACTCTCATTTAAAGGGCAGTTACATGTGCGGTCGAGCGGGTAATATCCAAAAAGGTATTCAATCTCAACACGGCATTAAATGATCCTAGTATACTCAAAGAAAGTTGCAGGGTGAGAAATTTCACATGTATCGGCATTTAATTGCACGGCATATCATCGAGATCGACAGTTTTCAGGAAATAATCACACTGTTGTACAAACAAAATGATTTGGGCCCATTCATTGACTATCTGCTATGCTTAATTCTAATAACCTATTTACTCAAGATATAGACTGGCTGCAAATACAATATCTCTTCGAATCAACGTGGATGCTTGTTCAACTTTCTTATGAAGTTCAGGATTGCCTATTACCTTGGCGGCATCCTTCACGTGTCCTAACAGCTCATCAAGTCGCTGGATACACCGCACGATGGTACCTTCCTGCTGATTGGCTGCCAATTGCATTATTTGTGCAAACGTCATGCCACTGGCCCAATGGTAGACGATGTTGACGAGGCCACGGTTATACTGGTCGCAGAAAATGGCAGGATCTTCATCGAAGCCACATTCGCGACGCACTTTGCCTACGTCTGTGACTAGAGTAAGAAACTGCTGCATGATCTCTTGAAGAGATAGCGGGATTTTAGCATTTTCATTGTCTTCAGCTTTGCCCTGGTAGACAAATACCGACAGCAGAGCTGCCACTTCGTTGGGCTTGCACTTGAATAAGACGTCACCCACAAGGACCTCTGTAAGTACGACTTCATGATCACTCATAGTGCGAGCAATACGGCCTTTAAGTTTCAGCGGTCCATTAGGCTCGACATAGCCGAGCTTTTCCAAAACCTGTAAGTGCTTGTAGTAGTCAGGCATCATTACCATGCCTTCTTCAGAGAGCAACAATGAAACGCGGTAAAGTTCAGAATTTACGGATCGACGTTTTTGGGCAATTTCCAAGTGAGTTTCAAACAGTGGACACGATGAACAGGAATGTGATAATACATTTTGCTCTAGCAAATCTACATTTTGCATCTTCTCAGCAAAATCTAAATCAGCATTCTTTATCTCTTTAATTAAATTGACTTTTTTGAAAGTCCAAGATTCCACTATGTCAAACATATCCTGACCCGCCTCACGAAGACCTTTCGGCGTGTTCAGTTTCTTAACGTCTACTTTCAGTTCTGTTGCACTCAAGTCAAGCATGTCCTCTGGACTTAAAACAAGGAGCTCACTCTTTGGAATATTCGATCTAGTTATTTTCCTTGAAGCGGGCCAGTAACTGCGGCCTTCCTCCTTCTCAGCTAGGCTAATAACGTTAAGTTGATTTTGTTTCACATTAAAGGATGTTATCACCCCGAGTCGAGTTGACTCCCCTACCCGAGCAAATACAACTACTTTTCCAGGTGAAAAAATTTTACTTGATGCCGCAAGTTCAAACACCCGCTGCCATAACGTCAGTCTATAGGCAGCTAGATGCTCAAGATCAGCTAGGCATTCGCTGATGCTCGAACAGGAATTACAATTTACAGGTTCCATTGCTGCAAGCTTTTCTGTTAACTTTTCTCTATCTTTAACAAATTTATCCTGCTGCGATTGTTTTGAGTCTTCAACGAATGAGTCGCGCATAACTTCTTCAACACGCATTTGCAGTCCAGCCTTCAGATTAAGGATCATCGTATCAGTCACCTTGAATTTCGACTGGAGCAATTGTGGTTTGCCGGTCATCATTACCTGCAGTGAACGTGAGTCCGGTACGTCTCCTTTAACCATAATAAGAACAACGCCAACGGTATCCTTGCCGCGACGACCTGCTCTGCCAGCCATCTGAATGTATTCCGCTGGCAGCAAGTCGCGAAACTGGTAGCCGTCATACTTACGAATGCTATCGAATACGACGGTCCGAGCAGGCATATTGACGCCCATCGCAAAAGTCTCGGTTGCAAACAGCAGCTTCGTCAAGCCTTTCTGGAACAACATTTCGACCACCTCCTTCATGATGGGAAGAATGCCGCTGTGGTGGATCCCAATGCCGACCCTGAGCAACTGCTTAAGCATTTCGACCTGCGGCAAACGACGATCTTCCGGAGAGAGTCGTGCCGTGCAGTGTTTGATAAATTTATGAATCTGGGATTTTTCCGTGGCTGACGTCATGTCTACGCTTCCAAGGGCTCTGGCGTTGTCATCGCAACGTTTCCGAGACAGCGTGAATATAATTGCCGGACAATAATCATTTTGTTGCAAGTATTGCACAAGACCCAAGTACCGGCTTCGTTCGTCTCCGCCCTTCCATTGGTTAAAAGAACCCCTCTTAGCTGCGCACACCTGCAAACCACAATTCAGACCCAAGCAAAAATATTCGTATTCGTTATTATTATGATGAACACATAAAAATCCAGGTAAAAAAAAGAAAGACGACGCAATCAACGTACGGATAAGAATCACTTTATGTTAAGTAATCTGAGTGTTACCACGAATGCCTGCGTCAGAAGTCACGTGTCATTTCAGGAAATATAGGTGTACTCAATAAGTCCATTGAATCTGGTCTAATAATATAAGCTCTCGCGATATGTTTCTCCGTATATCTTTATTCAGTTATGTCTGATAATCATCGACTGCATACGAGCATTACCTGTAGGTAGTTCTTGCTCTTAAATTGGTTTGATGAGTCAAGGATCAGCACTGCTTGATCTGGCAATTCGACAGCCTGAGGTTTTTCCTTGGCTTTGAGCAGAGCCTTTTGTTCTTTCGAGGCGCCTATTTTTCCTAAATAAAGCATATGCTCCAGTGCGACCGGTCGTTTTGTCGTTGAAATAACATAAATGCTTTTCTGCTTTATGCGGCCGATCCAGTCAGCCAGCTCTATAGCGTTAGGAACCGTTGCTGACAGCAGAACCAGGTGAACATGTGGCGGTAACATAATCAACACCTACATGCCCATAAACACCTCTTTTTTAGATGAAATAATTTTTAAAGCAACCTTGTAAGATTATAAAAAAACACTTATTCAGATGTGCCACGAATTATCTTAAATTAACTGTTAGTAACAGTAATTACCTTAACAGAATTTCACGAAGTACCTACGAGAGGTAGAAAATGCTGCTCATGCAGGCCTTGATAAATCCAAATAACTTGCCTCTTCCCAGACTACTCCACGATCTGCGTCGTTGATGTAATGACACTCATCAAAAATTACCCATTCGAGATCATCAATAATCGAAGCCTTGTTGTAAAGCATCGACCGAAGGATTTCAGTTGTCACAATGAGAGTCGCAGCATCCCGCTTTATCTGTACGTCTCCGGTAACGATACCGACATCTTCAAACATTTCCCGAAAATCCCGGAATTTTTCATTTGACAGTGTTTTGATCGGGGAAGTGTAGATTGTCTTTGTCATGTGCTTTTTCGCAAGGGCGATTGCGTATTCTGCGACAACAGTCTTTCCTGTTCAACCGAACCATATCACACATTTTTATTACTCTGTCCTGGTTAGCCTGATGTAAAATAAACTAAAAGTAAGTTATATGTTATGAAATCGATAGCAAATAAATACAAAAGCCATTTCAAATAATCAACATTGTTTGTTTACAATAATCTAACATTGATGTTTTAGAACTACAAATAGTCGCAAAATGATATGATGTAACGATGACGGAGCAAACAGCATCTATGAGTGAGTTGTATGCACATCAACTAAACAAATATAATCGAAAACTTAAAGCTCTTTTTACTCTAAATAAAACTTCTATCTGCTATGTGTAATGTCTGTGTAGTTTATTAAGGGGCTAGACGGCAGCAAGAGTTTACTTGTTTAATAACTCATTTTTGCACAGTTACTTACCGGCTGACGTGTGAGCTGATACAAAAACATTTTCGCCTTTCTCTATAAGTAGAATCGCTTTCTTCTGAAATGTGTCAAGCTCAAATGGCCATGTATATGCAGGATTTGGGTTTAGTTCGGCATAGTTAGGCACTGTCTCCGCAATGTTCACTACCTCAGCCCATTTGCGTCTTCCAATCGAGCCTTCTTCCGTCGAGGGCAAGTCTTTAATTCGAAGAACTTCATTTAGATTCACCTGAGGTGGTTCGTCTAACTGTTCTTTTGGAGGCTGAGTACAGGATTCAGCTTCTCCGAAATGTTGAAGATTAATAGAACGATCTGAGGCTACCATGTCCTCGAGGGGCGGCAAGGACGCAAGGAAACTCTGCATGTCATCTGAATCGGGTGATAAAGTGCTACTCGCCTTGTCCACATCGAACTGACATGGAACTGGCAATGAGGTTTTATCCAAATCAACGTCATGGTTGAAACCAGGAGGCTTACTGTAAGTTTCGTCGAAGTCAACTTTGCTGATCTCAAGTTTCGGAATTACCTCACGGACACCCTTAATTTCGCCAGTTGCTAAATCTCGTACCGCGTGTAATTCACCTATCTGTGGCGGTTGCTCAGTCCTACAGACGAAAAAGACGCACTTGATTTGTAAGTAATAGTGGATAAGTAAAAAATGCTTTACTATGTACTTAACAAAAAAAACGTATACGGTTGTAAACTGCTATAGCCAATTGACACGATCGAATCCGATATCATTTCTGAGGTTCAAAAAAAGTATGTTCGATATTCCATGCATTATGGGTTGATTTCTGTACAGCCACAAACATTTCGAGATCTTACTGTAAACTAAGGAAATATTCGAATCGGGGTTATGTCGACATCTTCAAACTCTGGAGCCTACCCTTTGATTGAGATGTAATTAGCTTTAGAATAACAACGCGGAGGCTGTTAATGTACAAACCGTAATGGAATTCAACTACAGATTACAGCAAAAAAAATAGCAGTGAATAGGCAGATGAACCTGAGCAGGTTGAGAATATTTGGAATGATCCGGGGTAGGTGCAGTTTTGGTGGTTTTAGTAGAAGTTCCTTAAGTTTTTGTTCGAAATCCGCTTTATCGGAAAGCACTCGTAACGGCGGTGGAGAAAATGGACAATGATTAAGACCAGATGGTCGTGGAGGGCCAATAGAAGAAGGTTCATAGAGAAGATCCGCGCTTAGTGGATTGGCGAGTTTCCCTACAACACGCAAATCTGAAGGATCAAAGACCAACTCCATTCTGTAAATAGACGCATTCTAGGACCAGTTAGAAAATATAACATAGCGAAGTAAAACTTTTTCGCGCTAAAATTTAAGGACAAGGCCTTTGCATTTTTAGGATATTTTTTTCTATAACGAAATATAACGAAAATAAAAACTGTTTTATATTTAACAGTGAAACTATGTCTTCTTTTTAACCCACACAGGCACGAAACTAATACGTATCACTCGTCCTGTAAAGGAGTATTCATAATTAGCCAGTTAGCAAACTCTTTTTCGACCATTGTGAAGTTCATCCATTGACTACATATGAGATTTTCCCACATCGCGGACATAGAATTTAAAACATACCTCGACCAATTTTTGGTGAAGATTTGTTTCCGCACAAAACCAGGATCGTATTTTAAAATAGTAAACTAGCGTCATATACTTGGTAGTGGTAAAACAAATGACTATTGGTGGGTCTTATATTCAATGAGCTTCGAACAGTTTGGTCCTTCAATACACCAAAAAGCAAGACGTAGCGCCTGTTAGGCGGCATAGACTGACGACACTTATAAACAAAGGTGATGGCGCTAATATTCGAATCTCATTTAAAAACTGCTGCGCATGTTCCTCAGAAGAAACTCTTAAGACCAATTACGAGCGTAGGACAAGGATAAGCTGTACAAAGGTATACTTATAGCTCAGAAGCCATTTTCCACGAGTATGATTATTCCGATTTCTGCGGCGGAATAACTATGTGATTTTACCAAATAATTATAAAAAATTACTAAGCAGATTGCGCGTCGTTGCAATTTCATCATACTCATCCGAACCAGTTTAAAAAAAATAAAGGTAAGAAGTATGACCATATTCATTCGATAGAACGAAACTCGACAGTGAGCTGAGCGAATCTACCCGATAAGTCGAAAAAATCTGTGGATCTGAGCCAGATGGTTATGAGTCTGGCGCCCATAGATGGGTAGTTCTAACCATAGATGGGCAAGCATCTTTTCTACAGCGCGAAATTTTACAAAACAACAAATTAAATACAATAAAGTTCTATACAATATAGTAAACTATAGTATTTCTTGTTCACTAATTAGAAGTATTTGAAGCCCTAATTTGTGTTATTTAAAAAGAAAAGATAGCGTTTTGATGCCGTTTTATAAAATCCGTTTATCATATAAGCTTGAATTTTGTAGAGATTGGATTTCAGACAACTAGAAATAACTCTGATAAAAATATACCAATGAATAACGTGATAATCTCTGTGTGTAGCAAATTTCTATAGCTTTACATTCTCATAAAAATCTAAAAACTATATTTTAGATTATGTGACCATTTCTGTAGTTAGCTTGATGGAGGATCTAAAAGTTACAATTGTCTTGCACTATTACCTCGATCTCCATAGATAGTGAAATCAACATCGTCCACCGTGGGTATTATTGTTAGATGTTTTATAATTAAAAACATTGGATCTTATACTAAGCTCTAAAGAGGTTTCGGGACCCTCGAATTTATATGTAATGTGATTCTGCATATTAACATAGAATTCAATTGATATTGAGTTTCTGTTGCTTCTCTGTGTCGTACCTATAGACGTAGATATAGATAGATTAACGAGGAAAGTTAATGCCGTCGGTATAGCCAATTAAGTTTGCCGGAAATGGTTACTTAGCAACGATCGTGGATTCAATAATTGTTTCTTACATGAGTAGGCTTCTGTCGGCTTCTCCATGTAGAATCGCCAGCTTGTGAGGTATCGATAAGTTGTTATGATGCCGTAGACAACATGAGATACCATCTAGTACTTGGCCAAAATTGGTAGTTCACGATTTGCGAAAGGCCCTCATTCGATCAAAATGATTGTATGATAACATTAGTTGAATTACGTGTGATTCAGAGACGACAAAGCGTTGGGTGCCAAAATATCCAGGCGCCACTACTATTAATATCCTGTTATTCGCATTGCGATAGCCCATGTATAACGAAATGCTTCGAAATACATGAGGGCAAAAACGTTGCTCTTATCAAGTCTGCTTGATATATATCGTGCCCAGTATACCATTACACTTTAGTAAGCTTGAAACAAATGCGTGACATCAATGTGCGAAATGAATCTGTTCTCTGTTTCCCTCATTATTGGCTGTACATTCAAGATAATACAATTTTCTGCGCACTCTCAAGTTATATGAAATAGAACCCTGGTGAATTTTTCCTTATTTAGCTTTAGCTTACGAAGCTCGTGAATTTCCGACGATTAATATTTATTTATTAAGTACGTTTATATCGCTTATCTAACACTAAAATATTTTCGATTGCTTTGCAATTATATGAAATGGATTAGCCGAAAAAAAAATTGCAGTTGCATACAATTATATTAAATGCAAACACACACACATATTTATATGCATTTTCTTCCAAAAATATGCTTTATTTATTCCAGTATTTGTTGCGTCTGTTACAAATTAGTGTCATATTGTAGTTATCGCTTCTGCCTCGTACACAGTTGTTATTACTATTATTGTTAATATGACAATGCCTATCTTAGTAGTACTTATCTATTATTAGTGCTTATATAATAATATGATTATAGTATTTTTTTCAAACATATTTCTATTTTTTTTCCCACTTACAGTGTATTTATAGATTTTTTCTGCTCTTAGCAGCGTCCAAGATGTGACGATTAAATTTGAAAATGTTAAACTACTGATAATGTTGTACTTTTCCTCGCTCCTTTAAAAGTTATGAAACACATACTTAGCCAACGAAACACTTTGCTCGTAATATCAATGCTCCGCTCCGCAGCTCAACCTTCTCTTTGGGTCAAATTGTTATGGGAAAATATTATTTGTGTTTGACGGCGTTATGGATTATTACAATTCTTATGGAGTTTCCGTCAGTATATGTAGCAATATGTATCATTCCAAGTCGTCATTTATTGAGATCGTTTGATTGGCAGGAGTATCATGTTGTTGCAATGGGATTTCCCTTTCACTATTTGGTATAAAATATTGCTAAGTAAGTTCTAGAATGATAAATTTTTCAATTTCAGGTTTTACATAATGTTGGCGATGATGTACTTTGACGACGATACTGGTCGAACGTGTCCGAAAAATCGGATTTTATGCGTAATCATATTTTGCTAATATTATACATCAATCGCTTAATTTACAACTTTACTTCACGCTTACTATCGCTACTGAGGCAATGACCGCTACCCATGCTTTGAGATATATTTCTTCACTATAATATTTCGCTATTTTCGATGTGAATTTTCCTGCGTGCGTCTGAATCGACCAGTATCCACAGTAATTAATGACAACTATGGTAGCAAAGAAGCGATTTTAGTGTGATTCTATATTTCATATGCACAACAGCCACACGCAAGCACAAACGCGAATCCTATGTACACGTATATAGACACCCGTGCAACCATTAGTAAACTGCATATGCTTATCTGTGCCGTATATCTAACTCGTTACACTTTTACCCGTTTGAGATATTTGTCTGTTGCATTTCAGTTAGTTCACTCGGTGGTCCGTAGTGTCGTACAAACGTATCTCCCAGTAAGGCTACGCAGCCTGTATTCTATGAGCGACAGTAAACAAATATAAAAAACCTCAGTGTGGCATATGATATTGACGGTAGCGACGGTAGAAATCAATGTGATGTAGCTAGTGAATGATGAGATCATTTCTATAGATGGCCATAGCATACAATTAGTACGATTACCACTTTTCCGCGCTAGAACGATCACCGGCTGATTTTGTTATGGGACGGCTGCAGTGTCGTCTGCTCAGCAGCACGTTTACTAACGTAAGCTATTGAAGTCGTGCACAAGCTATTACATTCGACTTCAAGCCGGAGTTTGTATTTGCCTTCTAGCAATCTATTTGCTCTCTAAGAAATGTTCTCAATAAATCGTCAATTGACCTAACCATTTTCCATTTTTTATTTGCTCGCACTTCGATTTGGTGTCATGAAATCTTTGGCTTCTTACTGAATCAGTGGTAACACGGAGCGAACAAAACGACAAACATGTTCGTGTGGAGAGTGTTCACTCTTGATCGTTACATATAAAACAATGTAAACACGTATATTTTAACGAAACAATGGCTCGCTCACTTTCCAGTAAAGTAAAACAAGTGAAAACATAAAAGCGTCCTAAACTTTCACCTAATGACTAGTAGCCGAACTACAATGATTCAACATTGCATTTCGAAGATAAACCTCGCCATATGTTGATAATCAATGAGTAATGTTTCGAGCAAAACTTCACTCATATATATATATATATATATATATATATATATATATATATATATATATACACATACACCAGATAACAAAAAAACAATAACTCTATCAATCAATAATTATTAAAGTAAAAATAGCCAGCGCAGTATAAAGTGTCGAGTCGCATGTAGTGCCTATAATAACGCCGAATCAAATTAAGCTTAAGTTACATTAATTTTTTTTAATAAATATCAGTCTACAACGATACAGATATATCTATGTAGCGTTTTTGTCTAGATAGTTTGTCGCCAGTCAGATATCTCAGATTAAATTAACCGTAAAAGCATGTTCATTCGTACTCGGATTACCCACTACTGAAATATCCACGTAACTGACTTCATTGACGAAAATACCTTCTTGTTTTGCATTAAAGTTGATCGATTCATTGTTTTCCTCGTCCTAAGCCGAAGCCCTATAAGAAGATTTTTCGTCCGCAAACCATTTGATTTACTGATTATGACTTGAGGTTAAATCCCTCCTCCTAAAAATGTATCGCGCTATCGTTATTCCAAGACTAATCGATATCCTAAGGATCCGATGGATTTCGTCACTTGAGTATCATATTTGGCCTTCTAGACACGTCTTGATTTTCCACACTAGACAGAAATAACACAGGACAATGATTTTTCAACGCAGCAATTTACAACTAAAGGTCCTGTGCTGTTGAGAAAGCTGTTTCTGTATTGACTACACAGGCTAGCTGGCTATTTGGAGTGTGTTGACCGTTTACATATTCACGACCCTTCAGCAAGTCTGAGCGCGAAATCAGGAGGTAAGGCGCTTTTTTTAAGTGAGTGGGCATTTTTCCTATGAAAATTCCTCGTTCCCGCCTGAGCAAATGCCTTGTGGCAGATGTCACAGCGGAAGGGCTTTTCACCTGCAAGAAGACACAACCAAATATATAAAAATTATTAATATGCCTCCTAAAACTCTCTACGTAGAATTGTATTCTTTTTCTTTTGGATTTTCCTTCGATAGTCCATTCTAGTGAAGATTATAACGTTCTATAATGTCTGCAAAAGAAAACACCGCTTAAGCATATAATCAATAATAAATATTGGCCACTACCTCTGTCGCAGACGGCGCAACTTGTTTGACTTTATTACTAAACGCACTAGTAAGGCTCTAACAAGAGATTGTTCGACAAAACAATACTCTCAGTTACTCCAACTTTTACAATTTTTGAAAAGGCAGATTTAAAAAAAAAATGTTTAAATACTTAGCTCTCTTGTTAGTCATATAAAAATTACAGTTGGAGCACCTAGTAATCTTTGTGAGTCTAATCAAAGTACAAAGAATAGCGTGACAATGAGAAAATCACTTTTAGGACAGTAGGCTAGGAAAGCCTGCTAATGTAACACGTACCGGTATGCGTTCGCATGTGCTCTGTGAGATGATGCTTCATGCTGAAGCCTTTATGGCAAACCTCACACCGATGGATCCGGCCCTCGGACCCTCGTGGGTTGCGTGGGGCCACAGCGGCAATCACCTCAGAGACGGGGTACAACTGTAGCAAAATGCAGCAACAAATTGTTAGTGTACATATATGATCAAGACAGTATCTATATCTTGAACAAGCAAACAAGCTACTCTAAGAACTAAATTTACTTTGTTTAGCTCCAATGGCGATAAAGGACATCAAAGGTTTGCGCAGCTAACTACCACTTAGTATAAATGTTAGAATCAGAGATTACGCGGTGACAAGGAAAATAGAGCATCAATGAAACCAATACCAAAACATTTCTATAAACTAGCGTCAAAAGTTAATTTATAATAATGGCAAGCGTTACAATTAGGACTTAATACAAGTGTATCTCTTGATCATGATTATATTATAACAAGCGCACGAAGACTAAGTAAATTCTAAACTCATAAGTGGATAACAGTCCATCTGTGTGGATTTACTTAATTCATAACAAAAATATTAGGAAAACAAATTGGAAAATCTGAAACAAAACTGATTGTTGATATTGATAGACACGTGCGAGTGGAGCCCAGACATTTACAAAAAAGAACCCAACCACGAGAATACTAGTTAGGTATGAAACGAAATTCGAAACAATTTGTCTTCACATGCAGTCTTTTTAGTGATAGTTTGTTTGTTTGTTTATTTATTTTATAAACTGTATCACGGCAGCTCTCATTTTATTGCACGTTTGGCCTCTGATTTATAGCTGAAAAAAATACTCACATCTCTGGCGATAACGATCCGATCATCCTGACTACGACGAGAGCGAAAATCCTTGTTATTAAGACTTATAAAAGACGACGGTGCGTCTATAAAGAGGTGTCCTGAAAAAAGGACGAGAAAAAGGAAAGCCACGAAACTGAGTGTAACACATCCCATCTTAAAATAAAATACTCAATGTGCTTTCAAAGTACTCCACAATAATAAAAAGCTCAAAACACGTGTTTTACTTAATCTTTATTGATTCGCCTTACAACTGTTCGAATATATTAAAGCACTAACCTAAGTAACATTGCAACAATACGTTTTATATGTTTAAATATATGTAAAATATACATTGTTTATTAGTTAATATGACCTTTGTTGTTCAGCGAAAAAGGTGCCCCCTGAAAGAAGAAAAGTACTATTAGTCGAAGCAAAGTAAGCGAGCAAGAATTATGTCACACCATATTATTACATACCACTGATTATAAGTCTAAACAAACCGCGTTGACGCTTATGTGATTTCCATGTTTATTTTGACGGTGTCTCCTTTGATAGCGACGCTTACCCTTTGTAAAGCTACACTTGTGTTCGTTACATTGCATACACCCTCTAAACCAGTGGTGTGCTTATCAATAGGCTAAAAAAAAGGTATTCGCGCGTCCGGAGTACAATCTAAGATAGCACATTTCGATTAGGTGAAAGACGAGATTGCGGAAGTAGACAACCTGTGTTTGAGGTAGATGAACGTCGATGTACTCATAGACAAGAGCGCAATTGTCGATGAATATTCAGTAATTAGTTTGGCCTACTTCTAGCCTCTACAATGACAATTACCGAGCACAGCCATAAAAGATAATATCAGTGATCGAACTATAGGAGGCTTACATTGGTTATATCGACAGTTTGAAAAAATCCTAGTCTCAAAATAAAAATATATGTGGAAACCTGGCTTGTTATACGGTTAATGATAGCTGTAATAAATTTAAGAAGAAAACAAATACGATACTGATTTACTCCAAGAACCTCCCGAAACTAAGCCTGTACTTAGTTTAGGTAGTCTCTTTTTTACATTTTACTTTCGCAAAACTCAGAAGTCTAAGACGCTATGGGGTGTTCTCTTAGCTCTCCAGACTTGCGTTCCCTTGCCGCTTAATCGCATGTTCGAACACGCACGCACAAATATAGACTAGAACGGGTAGCTATAACAATCATAATAGTTTAATGCGCACTTAAACACACAGTTTTGCCAAATTTATTTAATCATGAATCATTCAAATTTAGTTGCTTGCAATAGGCGGCACATGCTGCAAATACAGAAAGGGTAAGTCAAATGCAGGTCTGTCTTATAAAACAAACCGTTTAGAAAACAGTCAGAATTTGCTGACGGTTCAGAAGAGGCCAGAAGAACTCTGTTTTAGAATGAACACAAGGCGCCTCTATCTACCTAGTATTCCATCCTTGATCGGTGACGCCCTTTCTCTGTCAGCAGTCAACGTTTAACGCAGACGGGTTACAGCTGTCAGCAGTGGAGCGCAAAGCGAAACGATAGTTTATAAGGCAACAGATTTACCTTTACCTAGAAACGTGAGAGTTCAGTGTCGCTTGTTAAAATTGATTGCATACAAAAAAGGAACTTTCTTGTGTTTTTTTTTTTCGCAAAATCCAGAGAAAATACGAAATTTAAGAAAAGTTTAACATAGATCATTTGCACTAGTAAATGACTATTGCAAGTAAACGTTACGTGTCTACCTATACTATAGGCCGGCCTAACTTGGTAGGAAGTTCGGTAGGCGGTCTCAACTAGTAACGTATGGTACATTTTAGTCGAAAAAATGCAATCGAGTATCAGTCACCGCCTACTGATAGGGCATACAAAATTACTTTCTGAACAGATATTTTCACAGCATCTAATTAACTTAGGTGCTTCACACCTTTAGAAGAATATGTTGGCTTTGTTGTTCTTGTATGTGGACCTGTTCGTGTCCTTAATCTGTGCTTCTTGTTTCATTATGCTTGATGTGTAGTGGTTAAATAGAAATTAATGATCCGGCTGGCTTGAAGAGCTTCTGGAAAAACTAAGAATTTGGATTTATAAGTGGGCAACAGCTGAAAGTTACGTATTTTCTAATTTTCGAACCCCTTGACAAGGTTCAGGATCGACGTGAGTTTATGACAGTTTGCCTAATGAGTAGAAGATTCCCAGCGAACAGCATGGGTGTAGCGGTGACTTAGATGGCTTGGCCGGCCGGCAGTCTCTGCTTACAGGCAGACGGGGCAGGTCGCTGCGTCCTTGACTTTCGTCAACGACGCGTAAGTCCTATGCACTTTATGTAAATCCAAGAAGGTTTTATGTATTAATTCGTACTGCTATTATTAATCACTCTGTGGAGTATTATTATTTGGTACAAAGTAAGGTGAGCTAAACGCAGCTGGTAGCAGCCTGTTTGAATAGTGTGACTGTTCTGAGCAGCATGAGATCGACCACTTCCTGGTTTAAATTCCTGCAGTTGGCGTATTACTATATAACTTATTGGATAGCAGATGTTCCAAATCAATCAAGTTTTATCATTACTCGCGTAAGGTTTCTCAACTGCATAGCCTGACAGTCTCCTGTTTTGAGGGTACGCTAAGCGATAGAAATGTTGGATATCGTACTAGACGATTTTTTTTCAGAAGTAAACAGCCTTCTAGCTCCGTGTTCCATCGACCTTAAGTTTTTATAGTGCTAACAGAGGATGTCTTGCACTAGCGAGTTGGTTTCATTACACATTAGACAACTACGGGCCAAAATCGAAGTTTTCGCTTTGACTTACATTTAATGATCGAGCTTATTATTTGATGTGCTCGCTATATAACGTATTCTGGCTACAAAGAGAGTTTTGCAAGTAATATATTTTCTCATGTCAGACATGTCTCTACCTAAAGCGTTTTGAGGTGCCTCAACTATGATGCATTTCTAGTGTTAATCTCTTAGGTGACCTCTTTTACATGTAACGTTAGAAAGATATGTATTATACATATTGGTTGCTAAATGGGTATAGTCAACAGGAGCGGAACTTCTTTAGCGTGATGACTCGAGCCAGTATCTTAAAAAATGATACTTGACTTACAGCTACAGAGAACACAAACACTCTTATCCCTTTCTGTGGATTTATGTGACAATTCCGAGCAGAGCGACACTTCGATATGTGTTCGGCCCAAAGCAGATTACGAACCATAGTAATGGCGAGATGAAAAATTTGCAAAAGAAATTGCAAAAAAGGATATAAATTAGTCGATATGAATAAAATTCTAGTGACGATACCGTCTGCCCATCTGGCGGTATCGGAACTTGACAAACTTCAAGTCATAAACGAGTCTCGTGGAGTAGCAGTGCTGCGACCTGGCTAAGGCCTCTTAGGACCAACGACACGTTCAATAACAAATTCGTCATTGGTCACAACGGAGCTCAGTTGCAATTATCACTAGTCACTGTCGTGGCCATAGGGACAACGAACGAACGAATACTGAAACGGGCAAAATACGAGCCGTCTTCATTATATAGTTATAAGTTTGCCTTCGGCCAATTACACGTCTGACCAAAATCTACAACGGAATTGCAGTGAAATCTACTGCACAGATATCTATGATACGGAGCTTTACTGATAAATTTCGTTAGATGTGAAAATATGTGTTACCATTACGATTATTGGTGTACTTACTCAGGAGTAAACAAAACCCTTGTATACTCAAGCAAGGAATTATTACGCTTTTTCCGTGTGAACAGTGGATACAAGTCGGCTCAGGACAGATCAGCCAAGAAAGAAACAGCGGTGCGCGAAGAGTAGGAATATCGATTTCGTTATTTTGTCGAGATACTTTTCATAGCATCGTAAAACTGCGACTAATACAACAGACCGCAGTCGCGCCTTCAACGATCGCAATGGACAACACTGATTACACACAAGCGCTCAGTCACAACAAGAACAACTGGAATTTCACTCTCGGAAACAATCAGTTTACTCTAACAAAGATGCCGCGTAAAAACAGCTCCTTACTTAAGCAAACATCTTTTCCACTTTAGCTAGGTACCCGCTTAAAATATCTGATATTTTGAACGCTAACGTAACATTGACTGTCTACTTTGGCCAGAAGGCATTATTCACTATAAACTATGATTCGAATGATTGACAAAACCATACTTCTAGCGTTTTTCACAGAAGTACAAAAACTAAGCTTATACAGTCTAACAAGCGTGTCATCCGTCGGAAGGAGAAAATGACACTATTTTGTATGCGACAAGAGTTCCTTGCGATCATTATGGTAATGGATGTTGGTTACACTATGGTGTTAGGTGCCCAAGCTAATTCTAGATAAAGACAAGATATATATATCATGGTCGGATATACCATAAAGTTAATTTCGAAATTACTTTGCGAAACAAACAACTTCAACATCAACAAAAACGACGCTCTATCTACCATAGTTTAAAAACTTACGCTCCCGAATTGTCCAATGATTTCGTAGGTCAGAGGGAAGTGTTTCTCGTTCAGCTGCTGTTAGTTAGTAGCAAAAAAATTGGCTGATTCAACAGTTCGCATCGATGTGTAATTCAAACATAACATAATAACAGCATTTTTGGTTACATAACGGCTCAATATTGCGGCAAAGATGTTTAAGGGGGCACGCTTGCACCTGGTTAACAAAGCTTTATTAAATGACACCATCTATGTACTTGTCGGACGATACCATTTTGTCAGTGTAAGCTTTCGAGTTATAATCTAGAATAACTGGGATGAGGGCTTCGTAAAGAGCCGTTTCGTTTGGACAATAGTCAACGGTCAAGTAATTAAGAAAGAAAAAAAGAGTGAAAATGGCTTCTCCCCCATATATACACAAATAATTGATTGGTCTTATCGATGAAACAGCATTAGACCATGAAACATCCGCATATAACATCGTATCTTTGTCGTATTGCGCCGAAACTATACTAAACAACGTCGCTGTGGACGTTCCACGGACGAATTACAAAAGCAACGATATATAGGTATATATGTCGGAGAGTAGAAAGAACAAAGTGGAATGAAATAAGACAAAAAAACAGGAGCAACACGCAGCTTGTTTTATATTTCATTTACTACGTCAGAGGTTGCATCAGAGACATGGAAGCGTTACTGCGAAGTCCAAGCGAAACTGTGACGGAGAACCCCGGAAGTGTAGAATCATGATCTGACTCGACTAGCGAATCTATTAATAACAGCATCAAAAACGCATAATACTAAACAGTAGATCCCCCTAGCCATGGAGTTGTACATAGCCACTTCGAGTAAGAATATTGGCCACTGAAAATTCGAGAAACAATCTTCATGGCGATCCTCATTATTATATGTCGCACAAATGCCACCTAAGTAAAAGGTTTTCCGGACTGCCTGCCGCAGCAATGCCAGCGGTTTTCCTTGGCCTCATGGCTTCTAATTTACCTGTTTTCATCATAATCTTTTTTGTCCCATACACCGCCGATAGAAGGAATTAATTAAGTGCAGCTTTCAGATGTCGCCTCTCCTCGTGCTGCTGTTGCTGCCGTTGTAAAAACGATGATTACCAAATAAAGTAGAATGAACGCTTTTTCGCCAACTTTTTACAATAAAATCAGTATAATACCATCACGAGTCCATGAAAAAAAAAAACTGATAATAGATAAAAAGAAAGACACGAGTAGACAGTATATGACAGAGCCACTTTTTCGAAGAAATAATCAGCCATAGACCGTAGCCAAAAAACGGGATGTAACAACGTCACGGGAAATGCAATAAGCCCTAGTCTAAACAGTTACAAAAAGATGATGAAAAGCTTCAAGAAAGCACATAATGCACATCTACTGCCTCCAAGACTAGACGAAATAGGCAAAGGGTACACCAAACATTCAGTAGCGACGGAATTTGCAAAGACGAAGAATAAGAGCAAAGAGAGCACGTAGAACAACGGTGAAATTAACGAGCTATCGTAACGAAGCGTCAGAAATTTAAGAAACAACTGCAACAAATGGAAGTCTGGTCAAGGCATAGCGATGTTCCCCCTTTGGCTTTGCGCCTCTACTGCTAGATAACACATAACGAATTGGACCTAAAAAGCTAGGCCACCTTTGGGCGACGATGCACAACGCTAGTAGCATTATATAAGAAAAGCTTTACCGCCAGCCATTTCGGCTTTCGCCTTGTGTGGCCTGAAATTCGCAACGGCGATTTATTCATTAATCATATACAGCTGACTAAAAACAATGACGTTGACAACAATGACCGTTCTGCTGATAGCATTGATTGTAGTATTTGGGGAGAGCAAAAAGTTCAAGAAATAAATGAATGAAGCTTCTCCTTTTCATGATCAGATTATTTATATCCCTACGTATTTTATGATTAAATTATAAGTGAAGTGTAAACAAAAAATTAAAATTTACGCTGGAAAGCAGACATGCTTACAAGTGTACATGAAAAAATGACTGAACGAGAAGACTCTCTTAAAAACATACATACATATTTGAATAAATAGGTAGTGATTCGACAGGATTTTAAATTGATGATAGAGACAGACATGGCTAAGGATGATGCTAGGTGATGGCCGCGGTGTTAAATACAGATGGCACTTATAGAAGAAAAAGCAGGCGTAATGGTTTTAATGTTAAATAAATACATAAATTATATACTACTACAATAACCTCTGTGTCGTATTCATAATGGAGGTTTTCTACCAACAATGCGAAAGACCAAAATATTTTCACTTAAATGAATATTATTACGATCGTAAGCGTTACAGCAGAGCCATCAACCGGTTCTATGTAATATCACACGGAAGGACTATGTCTATTGTTGTTGATGTTGTCGCTGACGTTGTAGCAATGTTTTCGCGTCATTGAGGTAGCGAGCTCTACCGTAACGTCAAGCTGCTTATATCGCTTCAAGCATGTACAGGCGAAACACAACGCTGTTCGCAATCGCGACTTCGTGGTCGAAGTAATCCCATCAACAGATTCAATAACGATTACTCAAGCAGCCTTTGGGATTTCATTAAGAACAACTTAATAATCAAAAAGGACAAACATGCAACGTTCCTAGCGATTCAGAAGACGATGATAAATAAAGGACATAAACGACGCAAGAAGAAATTCCGCGAGTAGACTGCTTAAAACATAAAAGACATCGAACTTTGTATCTAGAATAGTACATATTTCAATTAAGGGTGCTATTGCTCACTGAATACGTTGACCAGTAGTAGCCACTTACCCCATTTATTTTGGTTAATACAGGAAGAGGGCATGTATGAGTGCTATTTACCCCAGTTATAAATATCCTTTTGTAGGTGTATCGTAATAACTGTTGCCGTAATCTGCAGTATTGCTCTTTTGAACGACGCCGGAAAGCTAATCGTATCGAAATAAGTAGTTGCTTATGAAGTTTTTCAATGTAAATAAGTGGTATCGCTTACAGGCTTTGAGCCTTGTTTAGGCTAAAAGCTGAGTAAGCTTAACTTCTTCATTAAATTAGGGTGACAAATAGCGCACGTTATAATATGGTAACAGTCGCAGTTATGTTAATAGTTTATGTTGTACTTTTGTATATACCTGCTGTCCATCTAAACCTCAAAAAAATTATTTGTCCGAACGAACACGCTACTTAATGAAAATCAGCCTTTTTCATGCCCTTAAATCAGTGTTCCGAATGGAGCGATATAGATGCGCACCTGAATATCGCGTCCGGTCTAAGTAAATACTATAAGACGTCATTGTATATACCAAATGGCTTGTGTCCAAGGCTTCGTGGTATGCCTGCAGGATAAGGAACAAAATTTGTAGAGCACTTGAAGGACTGCTCTTTCGTTGGCAGTAATTTTTCACAACAGTTAGATAATGAAGGGCCAAGACCGAAGAAAAAGGACATCAAATTGCCTTTCTACAGCCAGCGTAGGTGAAATAAGGTAAAAGACTGTAGACACACAACTACTTCATTTTTTAGGGAAATTATTTGTCGCCAAGGTTATTGATATCGACCACTGGGCTCATTTGCACTGAATCTATCTGGTACGTAATCCTTTATATACGTAATTATTCGATTTTATTTCTACCTTCTGACTTCTCCCTTATCGATGGTCAAATGTTACGTAACTTTTTTTTTTTTTAGCTATCCTTGTATTTAAACCATAAAACTGTGTCCTTAATTCGCGTAGCAAAAAACAGAATTTTCAGAACTTTGATTATATGGGTTACCGACGGCAAAACGACTGCCGAAAGACCCGCAGAGTGTGACAGAAGGACTCCATAGTGAAATGCTAACAGCTTTGTTTGTTAAAGTTTTTAGTACCATAAGGTAATGGTCTTATATCATACTTCGCCTATGGCAAATGTCTACCTTTGCCGGTATTAACGGCGCTTAGTCTTATCATCATGTTACTAGGTTGCTGAGAAATTAACAGGCATAAAAAGGCTAATTACAACTGGATAATAAACAAGAAAATATATCTTAGGGCTACCGACATATAAAACAGAACAAAAGAAATACAACTCAATTAAATCACAATTACGATATTGCACGCTAGAGTGATACAAAACTCTCGATAACGGTACATTTTTCCCTTATGTTTAAGTCAGTCAGTCAAAAATACAGCTTATATGGCTTTGTACAGAAGTTAGTTCAGACAACCGTATCAGCACGTAAAACGTTACGGGGCAAGAGATATTCATAAAGAATAATTTGGTAAGCGTTGCACATAACACAGTTTACGTGAGGGTGTCGATGTGAATGCGGGCAAGACAAAATTTAAAGAAACATAAATGGAAGAGGGGGAAAGAGAGAACGTTATGGTTTAAACGGAAGCTGATGATTTTTGGTCTGATCTTTTTTGAAG